AGACACCAAAAATATTGCTGCAGTGTCAGTGAAAATGAAAAAGTGTCTCCTGAAGAACTTGAGCAGTACAACTGACCACCATATTCTAGAGGGCTTGTCTCACCTAATAAGTAAGATGTGCTCCATGACTGCACAGAGGGGAAGCAAAGGTTATGATAACCACGACTAAATGCATGCCAAATACACATCCTGGCAGAATGCAATGACCAGTATAAGGACTGTACCAAACGTATTGTCAAAGTATTTTTGTGCACATTGGTTAAATTCTTAGGTATACACCCAACCCTGCCCCTTAAAGCTTGTGATAGTAGCCTGGCTATGAAGTACTGGTAGGCATTCAAAATAAGGTAACTATATGCAATTTTAGAACCCAGACGAAAAAAGAAAGGTGCATTGCGAAGAGTTAAAGATGCTGTCCAAGCAGCCATAAGCGCGGTGTGGTGGTATGAGCTGACTTGAACTCGCTCACAGAGCTTGTGACCAGATCAGGAAAATCAATAATAATGATGGGTTACCTGGCAGGGGTCTGCAGTAGCCAAAAAGAGCCAGTCTAGCATATCTATAGAAAATTGCTGATTGCAAAAAAACTAAATGTACAGAAAGTTTAACAGACAACTTATTTGGAACAAGGGGCAATCTGGTTGGTAAAGAAGTCTGATAAGTCGAGCCCTCTCCTTGGCTTCTAGATTATCGAGTTGAACAGGCCCCAGATCACCAAACCCAGGCAGGTAAGCAGGACAAGGGTAAAAAGGCAGAGAGATCTCAAGTTGCCTGCACACCCACCTCGTACCATTCTTGTGGCAGTAAGTACAGCTGCGAGTGTCAATTTGGATATTGCCCAGAAATTCCTCTCAAAGACTCTTGAGAAACCTGTGGGGATCTGCTCCAGGCAGTAAGGTAAATGGTTCGCCTCATAATTGCTTAATTCAGGAATATGGAATTTGTATTGCTTGACTCCTAAGACATGTAGTTATGGGTGCCAGCCAGGTAGTTTATTTTTTGTATTTAGCCCTGCCACTTGCTGCACTTGGTGCCTTGATGAGTTTCAGAGTTGAAACAGGGACCACAGTAATCACTCCTTCAAGGCCCCAGGGCTCATTAGTCAAAGTGCAGCTCCCAATATTCCCAGTCTGCACTTTGAATCACTAAGAGCCAGGCCTATGAGGAAGCGATAACTTTGGTTTGCACCTCTACTTCACCCCCTGTGTCGAGGACCCACGCTGGACTACCAAGAATTACACACCCCCTCAACTGCAGAATACTAAGTGGGGGAGGTGGGGACACAGAGCACCACCACACACATTACATAAAGCCAGCAAACACCACAACTATACACAGGGCTATCATTAGTTACCTATTTTGAGTTTTCTCTCTGAACAAATTATTGCCTATTTATGCAATATATAATAAAAACTGTATTTCATGCAATCATAAACTCCTCCATTTTTTACGGGAAACACCTCAATCTAGATTTCTCAGTAATCTTTAAAAAAGTCAGTTTAGTATTGTTTCCACCCTCATCATTCTTATAGCACAATTTTCTTGTCATTGCACATTTTATTTTCCAATATCTTCTAGAAATCAATCTTAGATCTACTGACATATGAAGCCAGCATTATTGCAACAACTAGTTTTCTGTTCATACCACATCAAATAACTCCCACATCACTCCTCGAGGACCTGTACTGTACTTTTTCTTATTAGTTCTCATGTTTCCATTTACAGGATGATTTTCATACCTCACAAACCCCGTGGCTTTCCTTCGCTGAGGTCAATTACATATTCCCTAGAGGTGCAAGCATGTAAGGACATTACAATCTTGGTTGTAGATGATGGACTTGTGAGGCAAGCAATATCTCTGCTCTACTGAGAGCTCTTTAGTTGGAAATACAGTGTAGAAGCAGGTAGACTTTTCTCCTTTTCCCTTGGTGGCCACAATGTAGCATTAAACGCAGACAGGAACTATATTTTTATTTGGTGGCTTCACATATTATAGCAATAATCTTTCACTCTGGATCACCAGGCATTGGGTTCTGTTTATATGTATTATATCAACTGTCTCCCTCCAAATTGAATGAGTTACATGCAAGTGTTCCTCAGTAATGTACAACAGCTGGGTAATTAATTAGGAGTCACATTCCTTGGAAATAGAGTAGGGCTAACAGGCAGTGCGACCTGTGCTGCCAGTAAGCCCTGGTCACAGGCACTTAATGAATGCCAACAGTCATAGTCCACATATTGCTCTACCTCAAGTATCTGTTGCAAAGGGTAACCATTAACCAGGTGGGGGTGCCTATTGCCACAATCATCCTTTCATTTCCTGTTCTCTTGAAGGCCGGAATCAGGCCTTCCATCCAGATAGCCATCTCCCCCTCTGAGCAGTGCTGCAGAATCCTTTCTTTTTTAACGAACAGGGTCATTTACAAAAGTGAGATTTCAAGGTGAATTTCACATTTAAAGGGACACTATAGTCACCAGAACAACTACAGCTTATTGGATTTGTTCTGGTGAGTAGAATCATTACCTTCAGGCTTTTTGCTGTAAACACTGTCTTTTCAGAGAAAATTTACTGTTTACCTTACAGCCTAGTGATATCTTCACTGGCCCCTCCTCAGATGGCTGTTAGAGATCCTTCCTGGGTCATGGCTGCCTGAAATGCATCCAAACATTCGGTGTCTCCTCCCTCTGCATGCAGACACTGAACTCTCCTCATAGAGAATTATTGATTCAATTCATCTCTATGAAGAGATACTGATTGGCCAGGGCTGTGTTTGAATTGTGCTGGCTCTGCCTCTGATCTGCCTCCTTGTCAGTCTCAGCCAATCCTATGAAGAAGCACTGTGATTGGATCAGGCTACCACTTCTGATGATGTCAGCAGACTGCTTGTTTTCTGAGACAAACAGCATGAATACAGTAAGATTTTGCTATATTTATGGAGGCATGAGGGGCCCAGGGGGGCTAGATGGCGGTGTTAACACTATAGGGTCAGGAATACATGTTTGTGTTCCTGACCCTATAGTGATCCTTTAAGTCCAGAGTGGCTAAATGGACGCAAAGCATATCAGACTACTGTTTTTAGTTCAGCTACTCTGACATTGGTAAATAACTCTGTTATACATTTAACCCCTTCCCGACCTCGGACATGCAGAGTACGTCCTACAAGAAACAGCACTTAATGACTGCGGACGTACCCTGCACGTCCGCAGCTAAAATGATCTGGGTACTCACCAGGACTGGCGAGACCTCAGCAGTCCCCTTGCAGCAGCTCCAGCCTCTCTTGCTCTCCAGGGCCATGTGATCACCATGATCACATGGCCGCAATAGGAGTCTATGGAGCTCCCAGCAAGGCACTGTCTGAGCAATCAGGCAGTGCCCCAGACACCTAAAGTGTATATATATATATATATATATAAAATTCTAATAAATATATTACACATGTATTATATATGTATAATGTATTATAAAAAAATAATTTTTATACAATGCATAGATGATTGCATTATGTATGCACATCTCAAAATACACTTATAATGTAATTATATATATGATATATTAAAACATGCTTTAATTATTTTATAATATATTATACATATATAGGAAATAAAAACACTTGTGTGTGTATATACAGGGACGTATTAGCCGCGAGGCAAACAAGGCATTTAACTTAGGCGGCATTTTTCAGGGGGCGGCAAAAAACGCCGCCCCCCAAATGCCCAGGGCAAATGCCTTGTTAGCCTTGTGGCTAACAGATATGCTGGGCTGGCGGGCGGCGCTGGCTGGTGGGCGGGCGGCTGGCGAGGGAGCTCTTCCTCTGAGCGGTCTGCTCAGCTCACTCGCGCGCCGCAGAGTGAGGCTGGGAGCCGGAAGATGACGTCATATTCCGGCTCCCAGCCTCACTCTGCGGCGCACGAGGGAGCTGAGCAGTCAGCTCAGAGGAAGTGCTCCCTCGCCAGCCGCCCGCCCAGCAGCCCGACCGGCAGCCACTGGACCACCATGGAGAAAGAGGATCCCCCAGCACTCCCAAAGGTAAGGAGGCTGCTAAAAAAAAAAAAAGTATTAATGTGAGTGATTGTGTGTGTGTGTGTGTTAGTGTGTGTGTTTGTGTCTGACTGTGTGTGTGTGTGTGTGTGTGTGTGTATTTAGAAGGTGGGGCGGGGGGGAAGGGTTGGGTGGGGGTGGCGCGGGTGCCTGAGTTTTGTCCTGCCTAGGGCAGCACAAAACCAGGATACACCACTGAGTGTGTGTGTGTGTGTGTGTGTGTGTGTATATATACACACACACACACTCTACATTGTATATGTAGAGTAATGTCTCACGAGTACAACAGTACCCCTCCAGTATAGGTTTTATGGTGATTTGGAAAGTTACAGGGTCAAACCTAAGATTTGCCAATTTCTATTTTTGTTGCCTTTGAGATGGTATGGCAGCCCAGAAATGAAAATTAACCCTACCATTTGAAAAAGTAGACAAAATGGGGTATGTCCAGTCTTTCGTAGTAACCACTTAGTCACAAACACTGGCCAAAGTTAGCATTTACATTTGTTTGTGTGAAAAAAGCAAAAATAGAATATGAACGCTAACTTTGGCCAGTGTTCGTGACTAGTGATGTCGCGAACCGTTCGCTTCAACATGGATGCTGTCCAGGAGGTGGGAGGGTCTGGGAGGGAGGGTCTGCTGGAGATTGGCCGGGATGTGTCAGCTGACCGGAGTTCGCCACGAACCCGTTCGCGAAAAGTTCGCGACATCACTATTCGTGACTAATTAATTTGGAAAATAAAAATGGTTTGGAAATAGCAAAGTGTTACTTGTACTTTTTGCCCTATAACTTGCACACAAAAAAAAGCTAAGAACATGTTAACATTGAGTATTTCTAAACTCAGGACAAGATTTAGAAACTATTTAGCACAGGAGTAACAGTGCGTAACAGATTTTGGGGGTTAAAGTTAGAAAAGGTGTGTTTTTAAAAAAAAAACATTTACATCATATTTTGTTGTTGTATGATTTATTCAATCAGCTTCTTCTTGCCGATTATACAAGCTATAATATTTCCTGGCCAAAGAAAAAAAAAAAAAATTGTAGTTGCACATGTTCACTTTGGAAAAACTGTATAATTTAGTGTTTATATGGTTAAAACACTTTATTTCAATGTGACTTTCCAGCACTTATGCTTTTATTATTGTATGTTTCTTTATATTATAATAATTTATTTTTTTTAAACATTCTTCTGTTAAGCTATGTTCAGCAGTTTGACTACTGTGTGCTGATCGTATTGCCAACACTTGAAATGTTTTTATTAACAATTACTTTAACTACAATCCGCTAAAAAAAAAAAACAACCAAACATGTCTACAGCAGAGGCTCACTTACCACAAGACTAGTACTTAATTGGTATATATAGGCTGTCACCATGAGCCTACCCATCTAGATACGGTCAGTTTGCATCTGACGTACATGAAAGACATGTTTAAGAAGCTACACTTCTCAACTGACCATTCGAAAAGTGTCTTAACTATAATTACACACAGTGCATGCCCTACAGTAGTTTGCCTACATCTACCATATTTAGTAAGTTTAACAGAATGTGCATACCCATTATAAAAAATAATGCGTTGGCATACTGCTTCTCATGTAGACAAGCAAGCAAAATACTTGCACACCTACAATCAATCCAATTGTGGGAATATAACATAATAGTGTAGATGGCACACCAAGTAAGAAAAAAAGTCCTCTTTAGGTCTCTTACAGACTGTATTACTACTTTAAGGATCAGTCTTGCACTATATATTATAGAGTATTACTGCTGACGGGACCCTTAATTTACTCACAAACCCTAAACACTAGTATGGGGCACAATGACAAGTGTACATAATAAAAACTAATCAGTAAACACAAATACTAGCTGTAAATCTTTTGAGGTCACATTAAATATTCATCTGAAATAACAAAATGTGGATTTAGTTACACCATCTGCCTACATAACGCTAAGCCCACCACTGTGCCAAAATAACCCATTGATGGCAAGTCTTAACCTAATTTAACACATGGAGGATGTCTGTCAAATAGCATTTATATACAGATATGAATACGTATATTCGGTTTATAATACACTTAATGTGGAGGTTGGCAGCTTGGGAATAATAAGTAAACTTTGCTAGCAAGTCAGACATCGGCTGGGTGAAATAGTAGATATGTTCTATAACTCAATGTATGCATAGCCAGTTACTCCTGTGGTGGGAGTTTAACTCCAGAGAAGCTGAATAGCAAGATCCTGCTAGATCTTGTCATGACAGCTACCTTGAAACTGAACATCTGCCATTCTAAGCCAGACAGGATTATACAGGGTATATCCAACAAATGTTAATTCAAGGACCAGGCCTTTGTGTTCAAGGATAGAAAAATAGATAGCCAGTGTGGTTTGTACTTTTTAAAACCAGATTTATTATTCTGACCCCTAGCAACTAGTAATGGATCAGAAATGAAAAATAGAAGGATTTTTGAAGCCATCCAGGATTGCAATTCTCCCCCCCACCCAATTGATTTAAGCTTTTGCCACCCCCCCATCTGTTCATGCTACTGAAGAACTTACATAACGCACAATGCATGTTAAGATGGATGGACATGTGAGGTATAATGACTGTGTTTTGATTAACATGTAATGAATCACACAGATTTCTCTGAATTTAAAGCTCAAGTCCCGCAATTAACAATATTTCAATCCAGTTTTATTTTTTCAACAATTCCTTACAAAGGAAAAAAGAAGCTGATTCACCATATTCTCTGTAAATATTACATAAAATAAGATCATCTATACATCCAGTCAAAGCCAATAAATTAGAAGAATTTACATGAGAGATACAGGCCTATCACAGTGAGGGGGCAAAGAAAAAGAAAAGTCCAAGACAAAGCATTTAGGTAGAGCTTACAGCACGGCTGTGAACTAGGTTATCCTGTCCACTTACAGCATTGTAAGGAATTTCCATTGGAAAAAAAATAATGCAAAGAAAAAATGAATAATAAAATTATAGAGGTGGTGTTGCTGGTGTGATTTTACACTCGCACCTCTATAAACTCCACTTTGGAGAGCCCCTCCTCCCGGGCACAAAGACCTTCCTGCTGTGCACACATGCGAGGCGGGGGGCTTTCACGATGAGGATCTGGTGGAGAGGGTGGTAGAAGGTGAGGGGAATCATATTCCTCTGACGCCAGGTCAGGCACATCATCAGACTGCGCATCTGAACTCTCCAAGTCGCTGCGGATGCTCTCAGGCTGTGCCAGTGTGATGTCACGAGGAGGAACCTGGTCTCTGCAACCGTCATCATCCTCGCCTTCCACAAGAGGTGCTGCAACATGAAGGGATTCCTCTGTACTGCTCTCACTCATCAGTTGGTATCTGGAAGGTTTTGCTTCTATATAAACCTGGATCTCCAGGTTATTAGCCTCCCTGAAAAGAAAAATGGAAACAAATACCAATCGTCAACATAATCTTTAAATGATACAATGTGCAGAAAAAGAATTACAAGAAAGGACCTCAGGAAATATAAAGTCAGTGCAACTGCAGTATAAGAAGAAAAGAACGTATACATTTGTTATGGAGCAATTCTGCATGTAACCACAAATGAAATCGTCTTTATGAAAAGAATGAATACTACATAACTGATAAAGTACTGTTATATGAAAGACTTAAAATTGTTAAAAGGACCACTCACACTTCCATGGTTTGATAATTGGTTATAGGAAAACCAATCTGTTGGGTAATAGTAATGTTATGTAACTGAATTTAAAGCACCTTGAAAGCCCCCATAAGGATCGTCAATATAAATAAAGAGCAGGACTGTTTATTGGTCTCACACATACAAGAGAAAGATTCTATTGGAACACTGTATTCTGTGTGGTTTTCTGTATAAGATCTTTGCACAGGAGTGAATGGGGCCTGCTTGTAAAGAACAAAAAGAACAGGAGTTGCAAGGTAACTGATAGCAAAGAGATCTGATTCAGTTCCCCACAAGGTGGATCAGAATTCAAATACTTGCTGCAAAACAGACATTCAGAGAACAGTCTTTTCTTAAATGGATTACACAGTTGTATATTATATAAAAGTAAACATACTGTATATACCATATTTTTCCGTATGTATAAGACAACCCATATTTTTTAAGCACAAAACTAAGAAATAAAAGTTTTAGACATCTATAGGCCGCTCCCCGAGGTCTGGCTACGCCCAGACACTGGTTCCCTGGACCGCCGTCCTGCTGTTGGCGGCAATGATGCCATCTGCCTGCGGTACCCTACGGGGGATGTCCGGACAAGGCCTCACCCTGCGGCGCCTATCTGTAGTCCGGAGCCTGAAGTCTTGGCGTGGTCCAGAGTAAAGCAAAGAATCATGCGGTTGCGCAAGATCTCCCAGACCCATGCACACAATCGATCAAATTTCCGGAGAAGTGCCTCCTCTGCTTCAAGTATGTCAGCAAACCGCACAGGTGTACAACACAGTCCATGCCCGCAGGAACCTGGCAATAGCGAACCCAACAGTCATCTGAGTGTTCTGTCAACGAGTAGCCAAGTTTTGTGCCCAAATTACACTGCCTGAGTACTGTAGGTATTTGGCTTAATAATTAGATTTTTGAAGCCACATGCAAATGGCTTGGTTTGCTGTCAGGCCCTGCGCATAAGTTTTTTTTTGTTTTCTTTAACCTATGTAGTGAAATTCTGCGTATAAAACGACTCCCAAGTTTAGACTTAAAAAACAAACAAAAAAAAAACAGTCAGTATTATATGTGGAAAAATATGGTAATTGTAAAAAAACAAAGTAGTGGTTGGTCCATTGGATTTAATTTCCGTGTGGTATATATAACTTTATAGGACTCACCTCTCTTGTGGGTTGTATGAGCTGATGATGGAACCAGCCATTGCTCTGGTACTAGCGCTATCACTCACAGCACCCAGACTAACAGAGTCTTTCTGGCAGGTCTCTTTCTGCACATCTGCCTGTACCTCAAGCCTGCGTAGAAGAGATGCAAATACATTTAATAGGAAGCATAATGTGCATGGAACACAAAAACAACCACCAGAAAATGAAAATAAAAAAAAGATGTAAAATTCACTCATGGTCAGGTGAAGATCAACATATCCACGTGCCATATCAAACACAGCGTTTAAAATGTACATGTTTTCAGTGAAACCACTGCAATCAAGGATATCAAACCAAGACAGAGGGGCAGAGTTAATGACAAAAGAAGGGACAAAAAAGGGCTCATATTACAAATTAGAGCTGATGTGTGTTTAAATTTGTTGCACCCAATTATTGAAGTGCTGAGGTCTCATGAAATTGCCTGTTTTATAAATGTGAAAAGGGTTTGACACACAGCACTTTAGCGTTCCTTTAACCACCCACCAAAAAAACAAAAAACCTTAAAAAATAACAAGGAACAATTGCGTCCACTGTAACCCTTTCACTCTGAAATACTGTACACATTATTTTAATTTAATTTTGATTTGCAGCGCAAGTCAACATTAAAGGGATTCTCCAGTGCCAGGAAAACAACCGGATCCTACAGTGCCCCCTCCCTTCCGCCTCCCCATTACCATATCGCTGAAGGGGTTCAAACCCCTTCAGCTACTTACCTAAATCCAGCGCGGATGTCCCTCGGCGCTGGGTCAGGCTCCGCCCATGCTCTTCCGCAATGGCCGCGTGTGCCGCGTGTGGGAAAGCATTAGCCAATGCTTTACTAGGGGGAAAATCTGATGCTGGAGGTCCGTGAGGACGTGCAGCATCAGATAACCGACCAGAGGTCGGTTTGAATTCCAGAAGCCCTCTAGTGGCTGTCTGGTAGACAGCCACAGAGGGCAGACTTAGAGCTGCAATGTAAACTTTGCAGTTCTCTGGAACGGCAATGGTTTACATTGCAGCACTAAGTGCAATAGGGGCACAGCACCCAGACCACTTCAATGAGCTGAAGTGGTCTGGGTGCCTGGAGTGTCCCATTAATTTCAACACATAAAGCCTCATCTTACTCTACTTTCTTGTGAAGAATTGAAGAGTTTTGTAATATATTTTTTTAAGCTAAGCTTTATTCTGCCCCACAGTGATCTTCAAATTCAATGGAAATAGTAGATCCCTCTTCCAGCAGAGTACAAGTGGAGTAAGTTTGAATTAGAAACTGTATTCATGAATTCTAACGATCAATTAATAAAAAAATAAAATAAATCCTCAATCAGGAAAAAAGCCTCCCCCCCCCTTTTTTTACAACAGCCGCTCACTGTTTAGTAGACGTCCATCTCCCTTATTCTATTATGGGGGTCATATTGACCCTCAGAGTGACGAATGAATGGATGAAGTTCGCTTGCCCAAGTGTTTAACTGGGCATGCGCGGGAATGTCACAGCGCTATCTAGTGTGGGCAGATGACGTTTCCCACAGGGCCTTCATCTACCCACACAAAGATGGCGGCGGCCAGGACCCAGGTCAGGGCAGAAAAAGTTTAAAAACTGGGTAATATGGGGGGCTTAGAGGCATTTGGGGTGACTAGGGGGTGTAGTTGAGTCGGGAGTGGGGTTAAAAAAAATAAAAATGGATTCGGCCATGACAGTGCCGCTTTAAGTGCAACACATTTTTCAAAATGTAACGGAGAACTGCAAGAAAAACAAGTTTGTTTTTTTCTTGAATCTATATTAACCATTATTTCATTGAATATTTGGTCTTGTGTTTTATTTTTATTTTTTCTTCCAAAAGGCATTCAGATGTTTCAAAAATCTGTAAAAATGCTCATACAATACCCAACGTACCTCTTCTGTGAATCTCTCTACCAGCTTGTATTCATACCTGCAATACTTGGCTCTTCCTCCACTCAACATGCCCCCAGTTAGGCTACCACCAGAGAGGGCTGCAAAACTGGCCGTCTCACTGTAATTTCCTTGAAGGACACTCAGCCCATCTGTTGGACTCCCACTAGTGCTCAGTACACTTGTCAAACCTTCCATGCTGCTCTCCCCGATACTTGGGTTCTTTAACGCTCTCCATGCATCTGCCACTGGGAGAGAAAAACAAAGAGAAAAAAAAAAAACCCCATGAAAGTTACATAGAAAATGCAATGTAGAAAATTGTACACCAACTGCTTATATGCACAGAAAATACCCTACAATTCTATAATAAAAAAACACTTTAATAGCAAGATATTTTAATTCTAAAATTGTGATTATTCCATATTTTTGATATTCTCACTCTCAAAGTCTAAAAGGGACCATTTAGTGAACTTAGCACAGATTTGTGTCTAGCCAAAAATAAATTATCCCATGGGTCGACAAGCAAAAAAAGAAACTGGATTATTCTTTGCAAACACAATACTACACAAATACAAATAAAATCCAACAAGGACTCTTGGTGGGAGGTCTGAAACACTGATCCGGACTCTGAGTGCCCACAGAACCTCAGGGCATCACGCGGAGAAGCTGGATATTACCTGGGGAGGACTGACGGAGGACAGACGGCCTAAAAGGCCCACAACGGCAGGCGTGGGATCGGCCCTCGCTTGGGGTAACGGATATTGCTTCACTCGGTCTGCACCATGTAAAGACACTGTTTAATCTGGCCGTGATTAAATAACAAAGCTTGCCTAAATAATTCTGGTAACAAGTTTTACTTCACATAAAAGCTGTACCAAGCAAAGAACAGAGAATACAACAGAGGGCAGACAAGGACAAAGGGAATGTTCCCTGGTAATTCATCTCAGAAACGGCTCTTTATGCATGTAAAATTTTTACTTATTTTGAATATTTGATGTTGGTTCATTATTACCATGTTAGCTTACAATGCCAAAGGAATACGCAGTCCATGCTATAATGCCCCTAGTAGCCAAAGATTGATGCTACTTATTGCTGCGTACATAATAATTGATTGATGCATAATAGGCTGTAAAGTAGTTTATTACCGCATACTTAATAACCGGATTGCTACATTAAATAATACACCACAGCTTAAAAACGAAAATGCCCCTTATGTTAAAAGTTTGACAGTTTTTTTTATATATTTTTTTTTTATTTTCATTTTTATACATTTATTTCATAGCATGCCTACGGTGCAATTAATACGACATTGATATAATGCTAATAGTCATGATTTACTATTGCCTGACTAGTGCACTACCTCTGCCATATATGCTTACTGCACCATATGATTAAGCAATTATTTGAGCCCGTGTGAAACATATATAGTCTGTTTTTTAAATTTTTTTAATTTTAAGTAATTTTTTACATTTATAGCATATTTAGCAATGGTATACGCCTGATTGAGGCATTATGTGCTAAATATTTACATGGGTGCACCTCGGCCTAAAACTGAATATGGTAAAGAAGAATATACGTGGAGACTACATTAGATACCATTAAGTTTATATTATTTGATCTTAATGAACGTTATTTAAGGTTTGCATTAATTTCGCAAGAAAAGTTGATTACATGTGGCTAAAAATTGGCTCACGAAGTGACCAGCAGCGCATGAACACAGCACTGAACTTAAATGCTTAGGTAGTGCCGATGATTGACATCCTATAAAATCATACTGGACCTCTGCGTAGGCACCAGCTTATCAATTATTTTTCTGCACAATGAGCCTCTGCGCAGGCAACACTGCAATTAACCTTATAAAGAGTCTTTATGTGATGATAAACATATTCAAAACAAATAAAATCCAAAAGTGTCAGTAGAATACACCATATGTGTATATCCATGGTAAGATAAATGCATAAATATACCCAGTTAACACGTAGGACCTATCCTGTGAACCTGTGGTTACCAATTTCACCTGCTACTGTTTACTTCTTTGTAAGTAAATAAATCTGCATTGTGCAATTTATTATGGTTACACGTTATCTTTTTTTTCTTTATGAATGAGACTGACATCAATAAAGTTCAAGAATTGAGAAGAATGAGACCAACTATTTTCTGAAGGTTTTTTATTTGGCTCTAAAGTGTGAGTGACCAATTGGCACACCGTCACTTTATTATACAGTTTTTCACTATGTTGTGCTGTTCCTGTTTTCCCTGGCTGGATTTACCCTATATAATGCGCAATACTAAAGTGAACAGAACAAATACAAAGTCAAAAACCATAAAATCCAATTATTACAAAATCTAAAAAAGTGTCAGTATAAAACACCATATGTGTATATCCATGATAAGATGAATGCATAAATATACCCAGTTAATAGACTGAAGTTTATGTATTTTCATGACCCTGTCCCTATGACTGGCTCAGGCAAAAAAAAAAATCTCTATTGGGATGCAAGTTCTCTCGATTAGGGTTAGCAGCAGCTTGTTTTCTCGAACGCAAAACAGGAGAGAGGCAGCAGTCAGAGTAAAATCAAAGCATTTATTAATACAGCAATAAAAACCTTACATTTAGGTATATACGGCTTTTATTGCTGAAGTAATAAATGCATTGATTTTGAAATTTGAGTAATTGATTCCACAGTGAAACGAACTGCACTTTTTTTTCTCACTTTTAAGTGCCAGTTTTAAAAAAAAAAAAAAGTAAAAAAATATTTTGATATAAAATAATAAATGATCATATTCCTTTAAATGCAAAGATATGGGAAAACAGAATGCAAAATTCTAATGGTTGGAGCAATAAAAAAAATAAAAAAAAGCCACAAAACCATTGGCATTCTGCTACAAAGCCTTGCTAAAACACACAATGCCCTCCAAACAGTGGCATGCATACCGCGGTCGCAACTGCGACCGGCCCCGTCACTCCTGGAGTGACGGGCCTGGTCGCCCTGCAGACCCCTGCGACCGGGTGCCCGCCACCATATGTTGCGGCAAACCATCTGGGCCGCACGTTCAAGGGGCCCATCCTGTTAAGGCCACCAGACGGAGATGAATTTCCAGGGGGCCCCGCTCAGCGCTGCAGCGCTTTAACAGCGTGACCATGCCCCCTGTGCTGACATCACAGCTGGGAGGAAGTGACTGCCCGTCACTCCTCCCAGCTCTCAGAGAGAGCCCGCGCGGGAGGAAGGAGAGGGAGTCAGAGTGGGAACTCTGACTCCCACCAGCCTGAGCCACTACTATATCCCAGGGAAAGTCACCCTCCTACACCTAAAAGGTAGGAAACAGAAGGGTGACTTAAACATTTTGTATGTATGTGTGTGCGCATGTGCGTGTCTGTATCTGCGCGCCCGCCCCTGTATCAGCACGCACCTGCATCGGTATCTGTACACACGCGCCCCTGTATCTGCGCGTGCCTGCATCTCTATCTGCGTGCGCCGGTATCTGTGTGCGTGCGTCTGTATCTGTATGTCTGTCTCTGTGTCTCTTTGTGTGTGTATGTCTGGGGGGAGGGGGCCCATGGATCGTGTGTACACCACTGCCTCCAAATTCTCATATATGCTCAAATAGGAGGAAGAACTTTACACACAAATCTGTACCGAAAGATGGCTGAGAGCACCAAGACACACCAAACAGGCGACAAGATCATATTGAAAATAAATACAAAATATGGATGAGATGGTATATGACTCCACACAGGCCAACTCACATTTTTGCCAATGCAACTTCTAAATGCTGGAGATGTGAAGTACAGGTGGGGAGGATTGGCCACGTGTTAGAACACTGCAGGTTAATATGCCCATTTTGGGAAAATATAAAACATGTGATTTACAAACTAACAAAGTTCACCCTATTGCTTCCTATAGAGGCCTATATATTAAACATGTTGCCTGCCCGTGATGGAGAAAAACTCCACGAGAATCTATAAGGAAATGAGCCACAGAATAAATAATATCCTACAAACCTGACGCAACATGGGCCAACTGGCAGCTGGGCAGTGATTCCATGGAAGACATACATGACCCATAGCGGGATGGCGCAGTGCGACACACCAAATGAGGAGGAGCCAGGCACGTGATGACGCCCCTACAGGCTAGTTGGCAATACTGGTTGGATTCAACATAGACTATGCAGTGAAATAGGTTATATTTGTTCTTACATAATGTTCTTATAATTCCTGTTTAAACGGAGTTCCCTTAATGCTGTCTAAACGCACCATGATGCAACTAATGACCACCTGGCTACAGACACAAAGCTAACTGATGCACAGAGCACACAAATCCAGAATGCAGAAATAGAATGATAATATGCATGTACTGTGATGCTTTGGATTGTACACTCTATAATTGTCTCAAGCCTAATGCGATATGATCCGCACAATTCTAAATGTACTCATGAAGTGTGTAATTTATCTATATATGTGAACTTTATATAAATATATAAGAAAATTCAATAAAAATTATTCATGGAAAAAAACAAACATTTCTCTAGAACTGATATTTTATACCAGTTGCTACAACTGTTTAAAAACATATCTTAAAATTAGAAATCCTAATGTTATCTAAGGTATTGTGAAAGGTTACAAAAATGTATACCATAAAAAAAAACAAACACACATTTTGTATAAAGCCAAAAGGAGTATATAATTTAGTTATTAAACATGTCCAACTCAGCACTTCAATATACATGTACTTATATATCCAATCCATTTAAAGTGGCTCTGTCACTTCAAACTTACCTTTCTCCATATGGTTTTCTCTTCTCTTCCTTTTTCACAATCTGTTCTTTTCTTCATTTCTGATCTATTTCTAGTTAAAACACAAGACAGGGTAGGGACTACTTTATGTATCATACACTTGACAATATTGATAAAAGGTGGAGATTAAGGCAAGCTCCACTGCCTGTATTAATGGAGAAAGGAAGTGGGAGCTTGCCTTAAGCTCTACCCTTAGTCAAGATTGTCAAGTGTAGGAAAAATACATGACAGAATGTAGTCCCTAATTTGTCTTATGTTTTAAAGATAAATAGATCAGAAATGCACAAAAGAAGAATGGAGTCTGAAAAAGGAAGAAAAATGGAAACAAAAGGAGAAACGTATGTTTGAAGTGACAGAGCCACTTTAAAAAAAAAAATATATATATATATATACACACACATACATACATAAGTTCAAGTACAGATATAGGGAAGAGTAGTCAAGAGGATGACAGGCTCATTTAATGGATTAAACAGTACCTGTAATTGGTCCATCTTCTTCAAAGTCAATCTTCACCCCTTTGCCATTTGCTGTGGTTACACCACACCCTCCACCGCGGCACAGAGAAACTGGCACCACACCATACACGTATGCAAGCATGATGGGAACTCCGATTCCTGGAAATACAAATATTTACTGAGAACTTCTAAGTGTGCCTTTGGTGGGAACTCCTAAACTATGACCCTTGACACTCACCCACACTAACTGCAGCCACAACAGGTGAGGCAATGACAGACAGGATAACGCCACCAGTGACTGCCAAATTCTTCTTATGTTTTGATGTTTTCTTATTTTCAAAACGGCCATGAATCTGCAGAAATATGGACAATTATCACATAAATGCCATACTAGCTACTGTTGACCTTACATTCAATTTCCATTGTTCAATTGTATTTCTTTACTTGTACTAGCTAATGCAAACACTGGTAAGAAACCCATTATTTCCCAATATTTAAACAGCACAGACCTTTCTGCCAACATAGACTGGGATACCAATGACCATTGCAGGAATTGCAATTCCAGCAATAAGAGATATTCCTACTGGAGCTCCTATAAGAGTTCCCAATTGCCAGATTATCTTCTTCTTCTTGCTCCATGGCTTCTTTCCCCAGAATGTACAGCCTGAGGGACTGTGAAGACAGTGAATATCGGAATTCAATTAAAATACCCTGAAAATATACAAAGCATTGATAAAACAAGGCCGATTTATGCTCTCTCTGAGGAGAAGCACACTACTTACCTGAGGTAGTGGAGGTCAGAAATCTCTTTCATGCACAACCAACAAAATTCACAGCCACATACGGCACAAGTCATATGATTGCAGCTCCCATCATTCATTTTAATAATATAGGCACTGCACCGGGGGCAGGACTTCATGTCATCAGCTGGAGGCAACATGTAGCAAAAATGAGAGACGGCAACAAACCAACTCCGAAACAAGCCTTGTTAGGTACACAACATAATAGATTGCTATCCTGTGGATACACATATTAGTAAAGGATGACAACTAGTGCATATACAGATCATTAACAGCTACAAGACACCCAATAGCATCTTCTCTACCATTACCTGAACCAGATTCCTGCCCATAGCTGATTCCAGAGGGGTGCTTCCTGCGCATGCCAAATGAAGATGCTCTCTGCTGGCGTGCCATGTCGCAGGTCTGGTTTGGGTGCCACACATGTTTGCAGTGGTAGCAGAATTCTGTCTGACATCCTTCTCTCTCACAGACCAATCTGGGGCAGCTTGCACAGCCATAAGCAATCACAGCATATCTGGAAGAGAGAAAAGGTAATAAGACTAAACCTGAGAGTAGTTGAATGTATGCAAATGTAACTAGACCGTTGACAACTAGGCTTGGTATCCTCAATAATAATATATAATATTGATAGCTGCAATTCATAATTTAGTAATGGCCTACAAGTGTCAGGCAGTTTGGGAAGCGGGACAAGTGCCGTAATTTTGGCATATAAAAAGTTAAACATGCCCTCTGCACTGAAAATTGTGGCCAACTATGGGGGTAAATTGAAGTGTTTGGCTGTTAAATAGCTGAACTGCTAAAGGACACATGATGAAATAATTCAGTCATGTGGTATTTTACCAGCAGGGAGTATTTCATTTCTAGTAACAGGGGAAACCTCTCTCTGGTACCAGAATGTGACCCCCATGCTGACCGATGAGCTGCTTACAGCCCTTTAAATGGAGATTGAAATCGTTAAATTCCTGCACACACCAGGAAAACTGATACCCGGCGCTCCTGTCAGCTGATGCTATAGCCCTTTAAATTACCATGGCTGAACCAGAAAGTTTTATTTCTGATGTTCTCCTCAGATAGGGGGAGCCCCAAAGGGTTTTCCTGTTACATGATAACTGCAGAGGGTGGTCCGCTCTGGCATATGCAGTCTCCCTGGCACTGATCACTGTGAGCAGGTGGCATTTAGATCATATAGTTACAACTCGTTTCTCATGGTTTGTCTTTTCATGTAGGTCCACTTATCTTTCTCTACAAAGCCTGTATTGTATATCTGGAATTAACATGTAAGAAATATTGTATCATACTTGTGAATAATTAGTAAAATATTAAAGTAGCTCTGTCACTAAATAGATCACTTGGTTCCCAGTCAAGAGGTCTCTTGCATAAGGCCCTTGGATGCCTCATTCTACTTATCCTGGTCCCCCAGGTCAACTTACTGTTTTCAAGTAGTTCCGGTCCTCTCTCTAGGCACTGCTATCTTAAAGATGGTGGTGCCCAGGAATATCTTCTGCCCTTTCCTGGGCCTGCACATTAAATCATGCGCATTCCCACAGGATCCAGCTGCTTCCACTGACCTCTGCATTGACTCTCGCAATTGCACGAGAGTCCACAATGAAGGCTAGAAATGTGCTGCAAGAGGAAAGGAAGTACAGAAAAAAACAGCCAATGCCAAAGTTGGCAAAGGCCATGGCGCTTGATTGTATTGGTTTATACATTTGGCAAGGACATACCTAAATGTATACAGAATCTAAACATATTGTGTCTGCCGTTATTATATCTGCAGACCTCCCCAACTGTCCCACTGTTTTAAGGATGACTACGAATAAAGTAAGCACTGAATATTCTCTTTGGTGCACCTCAAGAAATTTACTGGAAAACTGCAATTTGCATAAAAGGATAGAAGCTATATCACAAAGCTAAATCAGATCAAAATACCACATGTGACGTAGACCACGTTGTCTGCTCCAAATGTATTTAAGGAGGTCATTGGTGAGTTATACAAAATGTCCAGCAAATTAACAGTTAGCATTACAAATTTGAAAAATGAAATGGCATTGTCTCCAATATGACCCTGCAACTTCACAAAAGCCTGTCAAATATACACATTGTATCTGACAGGGATGGAAATAAAAGGCAGAGCGTAATCAAAGTGTTGCAGAGACTTTTGCAGATTTTTGGTACAAATGATCAAATCTGTTGAGGTTTTGTGTCTTTTCCTTTTTTGTTCTTTATCCATAATTGTGAACGTGCACCATTTTTTTGACGATGCAATGGATATATCAATCGTTCTGCCACCAAAAAAAGTGTTCTGTGTTCACTTGTTTTCACACTAAACTTAGCTGTATTTTCAGACAATTTTAGATAATCTTTACAACGATTTAAAGGGATTCTATAGTGTTAATAATACAAATCTGCATTCCTAAAACACTCTAGTGCCCTCTGGTCCTCCCTCCTGTAGCACATAAAGGGTTAAAAAAACAACTTTAATCACTATCCCGATTAACTCGGCGCTAGGTCTGGGCACTGCTTCCTCCAACATCATCCGACAGGACACACACTACACAACATCATCCGACAGGACACACACACACACACACTACACAACATCATGCGTGGTGAGTGCATTAGGCCATCCCCATAGGAAAGCATTGCCTAATGCAGAGCATGAGGACATCCAGCGTCGTTTAAGGGAATCAGATTCACTTGAAATCCCGGAAGCGCCTCTAGTGGCTGTCTTAGTCCTGTAAAGTAATCATTGCAGTTTCTCAAAAAGACGCAATGATTTATATTGCTGGACTAAGTGGGACTGGAACACTGCACTCAGGCCACTTCAATTAGCTAAAATGGTCTGGGTGACTGTAGTGTCCCTTTAAGGAATGTAAACATATTAGACTTTTCAGAACACTTTTATAAATCTCTCCTAAAGTGTGTGTGTGTGTGTGTGTGTGTATACTTGGGGAGATATTTTTGGGAGTTCTAGCAGTATCATGTGCCAAGCATCCAAAACATGCAGTAACAAAGCAATGTTGTATAGGTATATATACCAGTACATACAAAAGATTGAGATTGGTGATAAAGTGACGGCATATAAAGTGATGGGACATTTTTAGGTTTGGCAAAACAATTCAAGGCACACTAAATGATGAAACAAAGCTTTGAAACATTGAGCTGCTTATTGTTAGCTGTGAACTAAAACTGCAATAAATGTAAATAATGGTGCCAAAAATAAACTATTTTGAAGTATTCTCACTAGTTATTTACAAAGTAATGTATGCAATTTATAAAAAAATAAAACTATTTTACTCAAGGCTGGTGGAATTCCTATCACCAGACACCTGAAAATGTACTTCCAAATGCCAAGAAGGCAGACATTTGGGGCTTTTTTTGTAAGGGGTGCTGTAAGGATGCCTGAGGTGGACATGATTGGGCAGAGTGAATGTGGTCTTCACAGGTCCTACAATAACTGCAGACCTCAACAGACACTTCATTGTGGTCAGGCAATCACTAAGGAGCCTAATGCAGCCACTGGTATTTGCAGCCTGTAATCTGATTTGCTGAGTACCACAAGGGAGCAATTTGTTGAGTCTGCACACACAGGGATGCACTGGACCTCCAGGGACTTTAACCCCTTAAGGACACAACTTCTGGAATAAAAAGGAATCATGACGGAATATTTCCATCATGTGTCCTTAAGGGGTTAAAGGGACACTATGAGGCAATAGAGGGGGGGAGGCAGAGGGAGTTATTGTGCCAAGAATACAGCTTTGCATTCCTGGCACTATAGTATCCCTTTAACAAAACTAGACCACCAGTCAGACACAGACCTTTCACTGCAGAAAGCTGATCAGGATATTGTCAAAACAAAGCACACAAATATATCTGGCACAAACCCTGCTGCCAACCGTCACCCACAACTGTCAAACATGTCACACACAGCCATCAATTACACAAAGCCAACACACACACCACACTCATATTACAAACAGCCTGCAAGCCTGTCTGAGTCTCTAAATTAAATTTAAAGGAAAACTATAGGGTTAGGAATATAGTCCTTGTGTGGCTATTTAGTTCCCTGAACCCTTCAGATTGCATTAAAAAGTATTTTAAAAATGTACCTTTTCTCCCGCGCCACAAATGGCCCGTACCTCCATGGCTGAGATCATCAATTTTGATTTCTGCCAATCCAATTCTTTCTCAATGGAAAACATTGGAAGGCTGTTGCTCATGGATGGCAAAACGCTGCACTGCGCCATTCAGCATCGCCTCATAGAATTAATACTTTATCTGTCCTTTACAACAGAATATACACGGATGTAGATAGGGAAATATGGCCGAACAAAGAAAAATGTTTTATACTGGACTGAGATACAATTTAGATTTTTTTGCTACAATCTGATTGTTACTATCAGTTATATTGATACTCTTAACACTGTATGCTATTGCTGTTTCTAATTATTATAGATACATTTGTTAAGACATTTACCCCTGATTATACCTAAGGGGATTATTCACTAAGCGCTGACAACACACTATCTAACAAAGAAAAAAATATCCACAATAGTTTTAGTATAGAGATATATATATATATATATATCATTCCTGGTTAGAAAATGTTATATGTTATTTATATATTCACCCAAGCATACTTTTTCTTTTAATGAAAATATGAAATGTAACTTGTAAATGTATTGCTATGACTGAATTATAATAAAATTGACTAATAGTAAAGGTTGTGGGGGCATGGGTATTCAAAATTGTGACACATATTGTGCCATCCTTGCAGTTTAACAAAACAATGCTTAAAGCATAAAATTAGACCCAGAGTAAATAGATTATTCCAAATATCTTTATTTGTTCTCCTTTGGATACACAGACACTTTCTGGACATTACAAAACTTTCACCTGCATTACGGAATAGACACTTGACCATGCATTATGGAATAGACACTTGATACAACTCAATGTAGCCTTAGAGGGATTCTCCATGTACCATAACATGTACCATTACAGTTTATGATGGGGAATTCCTTTTACGCCTCTGAGCAATTTCTGTGAATAACAGCAGCAACCACCTCCAATTTATCAGAGGATTGGGGCTCAGGAAATTAAAAACAGCAAAAACGACAAGCTTCCGTCCGCTGGTTGTGTGATATTAGGTCTCAGCATGTGACCAGAACAGACAGTTTCAGGGCTCCACTTCAGTGGCACCCTGATTCATACCACCAGCAGAAAAAGACATGGCATCACATTCTCCTGGAGATCTCTGAAAGGATGCTGCACTTGAAATTCTTGAAGCTGCCTTTTTGGCTGGCTACCTGTTAGTGACCAAGAGCACATTGCTGTAAAGCCATAGATGATCTCACTGCAATCAGAGGTGAGCAACTATGAGCATGAATTAATTTAATTGGTAGAGTGTGCCTGTGTGAGTGTCTGACCTGCTAGTTATATATAAATATACACATCTGTGTGAATGGCTAGCCAGGTGTATGTAAATAAGAGTATTGTCACATAGTAATTTAGGCTGAAAAAGGGCTCAAGTCAATCGCGTTCAACCTTTAAAACACATCTTTGTCTTCTGTTGATTAAAAAATTTGCAGCGGCAAAAATTTGAAGCGATGACTAATTATGCCACAAAAGGGGGGAGGGGTGGGGGGGAAATCTTGTCTCCATATTGGAAATACTTTTTCTTGGATTAACAACCTGTAACAATCCCGGGCGTCAAAGGAACATTGAGAACAAAGTGTGCGGAAGGTGAAGGTCATGCATCCCACACTCTTAACAGACTGGTCCAATTACTCAGCAGCAGCTGAATGTCCACTCAATAATGCCAAGAGAGAAAGTGGGCATTTTGAATCCTGCTTATGTGTATTGTTCACTGAAGGCTAAACAACCAATGCTATCCTATATTATGAGGAACAAAAGGTCCACAAATCCTGTCTCACTAAGAGTACCATAAAGGTTTACCGGACTTTGATCAACACTGCAATTCACACTCAATTTATTACCATGCCAAGAAAGTGATAAAGACAACTCCAACGTCATTTTCTTTCCATTATTATGACTAGGTGGGATGAGCTCTTTCACATAGCACACACAGGACTAAACATTTAAACTGTGTTGTGGGGGTGTGGCATCAGATGATTTGCCAAAGCAATTAAAGGAATCACTTGGGCATGACAAACTCCCTGGTAACCACTTCATCCATTTGCTCTGCCAAAGTATGTCCATGGAAATGGTTTTAAAATGTCAGTAACTATATACTGCAGTGTTTTACACTAAAACAATATTTAGAACTTGAAAAAATTATGATCTAGTTCACTTTTAATAAAAAAATTTAAAGAAAAAAAAAGTGAAAGACAATATACATCATACTCCCGTATAGGGATCAACCGATATTGATTTTTTAGAGCAGATACTGATAATCTGTGAACTTTAAGGCCGATGACTTACTGATATTCTGTACATTTACTATTTTGAAAAAATAATCTATTTCTAAAGGTAAATGCACAAAATATACATGACACATGTAGTGGATGCAGTGTGTTTAGACAGGGGAGCTGTGTGTGTTTGTGTAGTGGATGCACTGTGTATGTGTAGTGTGTATATAATGAATGCAGTGCTTATTTGTGTAGTGTGTATATAATGAATGCAGTGTGTGTGTATTGTGTGTATATATAGTGAATGCAGAGTGTGTGTTTGTGTAGTGTGTGTACAGTGAATGCAGCGTGTGTATAGTAAATGCAGAGTGTTTGTGTAGAGTGTGTATATAATGAATGCAGAGTGTTTGTGTAGAGTGTGAATAGAATGAACGCAGAGTTTGTGTAGAGTGTGTATAGCGAATGCAGTGTGTGTGTGTGTGTGTTTTTGTATATAATGAATGCAGAGTGTGTGTGTATGTTTGTGTATATAATGAATGCAGAGTGTGTGTGTGTGTTTGTGTAGTATGTGTATAGTGAATGCAGTGTGTGTGTATACACTGCAAGAGTGTGTGTGTATATAATGCAAGAGTGTGTGTGTATATAATGCAAGAGTGTGTGTGTATATAATGCAACAGTGTGTGTGTATATAATGCAACAGTGTGTGTGTATATAATGCAACAGTGTGTGTGTGTTGCTGTAGGTTATTTGTGTAAAATAGGGTGGGGGAGGGGAGGCATTTTTTATTTTAAATGTTTTTTTAAATATTAATATTTATTTTTTTCCAGTCCCCCCTCCCTGCTTGTTACCTGTCCAGGGAGGGGGTCTATGCCATTCCCTGGTGGTCCGGTGGCATGGACTGTGCAGTGGGGGCCCAGCAAGCGCTCACTTACCTTCCCAGCAGCTCTCCTGTGTAAATGGTAACCCGTGGCAACACTCTGACGGCCACAGGACTCGCGAGATTTAGACAGGGGAGCTGCTGGGAAGGTAAGTAAGTGCTTGCTGGGGGAGGGCTCTAGGAAGCAGCTCTCCTATCCTCCTGCGAGCAAGCTGTGGGGAGCGTTGCCGCACGTTACCATGGCAACGCTCCACACAGGATCGCTGCTTCCTACAATACTTACCACTACCGGACCACCAGGGATGGCTGTGTCCCCCCTCCTTCACCAAAGGTAAGAGGAAGGGAGGGGGGATACAGAATTAATGCAACTTTTTTTTTTTTATGTTACTTTACCCCTACCCACCACACACACACACACACACACCCCACCTACCCACCACACACACCCCACAGTACTCCCCCCACACACAGCACTCCACACCCTTACACACAAACACATACACTGCACCCCTCAATGCACTCTGTGAGTGTGTGTGCACTCAGCAGACTGTGAGTGTGTGTGCACTCAGCAGACGGTGTGTGTGTGTGTGTGTGTGTGTGTACTCAGCAGACGGTGTGTGTGTGTGTGTGTGTGTGTGTACTCAGCAGACGGTGTGTGTGTGTGTGTGTGTGTGTACTCAGCAGGCGGTGTGTGTGTGTGTGTGTGTACTCAGCAGACGGTGTGTGCGTGTGTGTGTGTACTCAGCAGACGGTGTGTGTGTGTGTGTGTGTACTCAGCAGACGGTGTGTGCGCATTTAGCAGACTGTGTGTGCGCGCATTTAGCAGACGGTGTGCGCGCATTTAGCAGACGGTGTGCGCGCATTTAGCAGACGGTGTGCGCGCATTTAGCAGACGGTGTGCGCGCATTTAGCAGACGGTGTGCGCGCATTTAGCAGACGGTGTGCGCGCATTTAGCAGACGGTGTGTGCGCATTTAGCAGACGGTGTGTGCGCATTTAGCAGACAGTGTGTGTGTGTGTGTGTATTTAGCAGACGGTGTGTGTGTGTGTATTTAGCAGACGGTGTGTGTGTGTGTATTTAGCAGACGGTGTGTGTGTGTGTGTATTTAGCAGACGGTGTGTGTGTGTGTGTATTTAGCAGACGGTGTGTGTATGCGTTCAGCAGTCTGTGTGTATGTATTGCATTTGTTGGAGATACTAATAAATATAAGCTTAATTTTATCTATTTATATCATAATTTATAATTTGTATCATTGAACTCTGATGTGTTCTTTTAAAACAAAAGTTGTTAATTAGTTCGGACAACTGTAGGAGTAGTTTTTTTTCTAAACTTAAACCTCAGTATTCAGGTTTAATTGCCATCTTGGCACTTTGAGGAGGAAAAAAAAGTTGGCATGTATTGCGGTTTGGGCACTCTGGCTCAAAAAGGTTCGCTATTACTGGTATAGGGGAATGGAGTGAAGTCTTGAATTGATATGAACGTGAATGAAATGTAATGTTGAATACATGCAATCCAATTACATAGGGCAACCTAAATATATATTCCTACTGTATCTAACCAGCTAACAAACTCTACCTGACAGGCAAATATGGACCAATACCTGTTACTGATAACCAAAACTACTGTCTGTACCGAATATAGTTCATCACGTGATGTTCTAATCCAGTATAATTGGACAGAAGGAACTTACCAATACCTAATAGTACTAGCCACGTAGCTTACACACATTTAATTCTACAGGCCCCACAGTTACATCCGATGTAATTAAATCTGCTCAATATAATTATACAACAGGGTAGGATTACAATACTAGACACAGTTCTAATACTAAGCTGTCGTTTCCTTACTAAAAGCCTGGTTAGTGGTACCTATATATGTGAAAAATATGTATGTGGTTTGATAATTGGTTTATATAGCTGTGCTGGTACCTTATGGCTATTCAAAAGTTCTGCTGTGATGCGAGGTATAGTCCAAGATCTAATAGAAGTAGGACTAGCCATGTCCCTTGTGTGATGTTGTATCAGACCTAGTAGGAGTGCTGGGCAGGGATGTGTTAAAACAGCATGAAGTAGTTCTGTGTACCATTTGCAATACCTTGGGTTATCTTCTTTTGCAAACGACATACTGGTATACTAGCTATTGCCAAGTGACAAAACCATTAAACAAGTTGGTGACGGGTGAGGCTCTATTAGATGCCCAGCAGTTTGAGAGGCTCTATCTATGCGTTGGCATGAGGGGATTACGTGGCAACCGAACTTGTGGCGGGGTGTCGGCCTCTCTGTGACTTTTGAAGCATAAGATAGAAGGGGCGTGACAGATGAAGCCCTCTCTATGCCACCATGCGAAGTGACTATGTGTTGGGCCGATGGGTGTAATACCTCCGAGTATGAGGATGGATGTTGGCCTCGCGGGACCACTAACGTAAGGAGTAGAGGCCTGAGAAAGTATAAGCTATCGGGCTCTTGGTGCCCTACCAGCCAGTAATGAAACTAAGGAAGGCAGGGTAAGGTTTTGAATGAGTATGTGTAATTTGACGTATCTGAGAACGAATAGTCAGAAATGCGGTATGACACGGAAGGTTGATTGGCACAGACCTACAGGGTTAACGAGATATAGAAGGAATTGTGGTATGTTATGTAAAAGTAGATATCCTGTTTTGCCTAGCAGGAGATGTAGCGATGTATCGTTCAGCCATAAGTAGGAGGCTGTGCAGTAAATCGTAGATACCTAGCACCTAAAGATACGATGATTTAACATACTTGAGTGAGATGTAAGGCCAGCTCGTGGATCCAACCAAATAATCTATAAAACCTACCTAATGAATGTAGTATAAGGGGTATGATGAGTAATGTTGCCCTAAAATGCTGAGTACTCCATAACCTGTTATAACCATGTTATCAGTAATGCCCTTGATACAAATTTCCTCTAACCTATGACCCTTATGGAAAAAAAACAGATACAATTGAAAGCAGCAGTCCTAATAATGAACCTAAAGATATAATGAATTATGTGAGAAGTATGTGCGTGGCCCTGCCCGGGACCTCCTCGAGAGTAGAACAACAGACTTAAGATAAAACAGTAGTGCTGTTAAGGGACATAAACATGGTAATATAGTCAAGAGAGTATACTATACACTTGAGTAGAATTGACGCAAGCATTGAAGGAAGCCACCATTACAGGTGTATTAAGATAAGGATCCTAAACTTAGTTAAATAATAATACACCAAGGCATTAATTAAGGTAACTTGCTATACAGAACTAGTGATAACATCCAATCCCCAGTTAAGTGTCAAAGACCCGGTCTCCCTTGAATATAGAAACAGATACAAGAAAAATTTACTGTTCTGATACACTAATATTTGTGTTCAGCAAAGTCTCCTGAGTATAACAGTACCCCACATGTAGAGGTTTTATAGCGTTTGTGAAAGTTACAGGGTCAAATATAAGGCTTGATTTAACTTTTTTTTTTTTTTTTTTATTGAAATTTGTCAGATTGGTTAGGTTGCCTTTGAGAGCGTATGGTAGCCCAGGAATGAGAATTATCCCCATGATGGCATATCATTTGCAAAAGAAGACAACCCAAGGTATTGCAAATGGGGTAATGTCCAGTCTTTTTTAGTAGCCACCTAGTCACAAACACTGGCCAAAGTTAGCATTTATATTTGTTTGTGTGTTAAAAATTCAAAAAACGCTAACTTTGGCCAGTGTTTTGACTAAGTGGCTATTAAAAAAGGCTAAACATACCCCATTTGCAATACCTTGGGTTATCTTCTTTTGCAAATGATATGCCATCATGGGGATAATTCTCATTCCTGGGCTACCATACGCTCTCAAAGGCAACCTAGCCAATCTGACAAATTTCAACAACAAAAAAAAAAGTTAAATCAAGCCTTATATTTGACCCTGTAACTTTCACAAACGCTATAAAACCTCTACATGTGGGGTACTGTTATACTCAGGAGACTTCGCTGAACACAAATATTAGTGTATCAGAACAGTAAAATGTATCACAGCAATAATATCATCAGTGAAAGTGCCTTTTGTGTGTAAAAAATGCAAAAAACTTCACTTTCACTGACAATATCATCGCTGTGATATGTTTTACTGTTTTGAAACACTAATATTTGTGTTCAGCGAAGTTTCACGAGTAAAACAGTTCCCCCCATGTACAGGTTTTAGGGTGTCATAGAAAGTTATAGGGTTAAACACAGTGCTAGCAAATTAAATTCTCTGGACTTTTGGCCTGGATTGGCAGGCAGGTCCCTCAAATTGCAATCATTAAAATTACTTAATTAGGTAAAAATATTACATAAATACGCACGTAGAATTTTAATATATACATATTTATTTGACGTCTACGTGTATATTTATGAAATTATGTACATGGACATATGTATATTTCGTATTATTTTTATTTATACATAGATATATATATCATTACATTCTAAGTGTATTTTGATATAAATATATATATATTAATATCAAAATACTGTTAGAATAAAATTACATATATAATTTTTTAATTAAAATTATTTACTTTTTGTTATTTATTTTTAACATATTTATAATTTATAATATATTTTATATATATATATATATATATATATATATATATACACACACACACACACACACACACATATACATATATATATACACACTACATATAGTTATATATATACACACACACACGTGTGTAATTTAAATTAAAAGTGTACTTTTATATTAATATACACTTAGTATGAATATATATATATATATATATATATATATATATATATATATATATATACACACACACACATATACATACATATACATACATACATACACACACACACACACTTTTTTTTACACTGATTGCTTTATTTTTATTTTTATACACTCCCCCTGCAGGCAGATACACAGGCACCTATTGCGTCCACGTGATCGAGTGATCACATGGCCGCAGGGTCCTGATCGGCCGAGGGGAGACTGCCCAGGCAGACAGGCAGTCCCCCTGGACTGGGAGGAGCGCTGATCGCCGCCGGGGGACCGACGGCGATCAGGTAAAAGGCCCCAGACCGTTATGACGGTTCAGGACAGTCATCGGTCCCCAAGAGGGGGTTAACCGAATCGAAGAATTTATATACATTCCATAGGATTACGTGTAGAAAATAAACATTAAGGACTAGACAAACTAATGAGGGCCATCAGTGGGCCGGAATAACTGTAACAACTAACCAAACGCACAGTGAATAGTGAATAGTAGCAGTGATGGAGCTCCAATGCAGAATGCTCTGTGGATCTGAAACAGATATAATGCCTGTAATACTGCATCCGATCGCTATGATATGAATATAATATAAACACGTATAAACCCACCTAATTGTTTCTGGAGAGCAAAATTTTAGAGTCGTGCCCGAAAGAACAATGGCCTTAATGTAACTTAAGTTAGAAGGTAGATAACCTTCCTATGGTTTGAACAATAAGAACTGGCAATTAACCTGTATAACACAATTGAGTCCCCTACAAAGAGAAACATGCGTAACGTCAGGATATACTGATAAGACGTGAAAAAATAATTAACAAGCAAGTGCTTGTTTGACCTGAATAAAATATCAAATATAGCCCGTGCAATATCAAAATTGACCACTAAAGGTCAACATTAATTGAAGTCAGGTAATTACTGCATGTTTGATGTCAACCTTTAGTGGTCAATTTTGATATTGCACAAGAGTTTAATTGAAGTCAGATAATTACTGCACGTTTAAACTCCTGTGCAATATCAAAACTGACCACTAGAGGCAGACATTTAAAACAGTATTTAAAGGACCACTATAGTGCCAGGAAAACATACTCGTTTTCCTGGCACTATAGTTCCCTGAGGGTGCCCCCACCCTCAGGGACCCCCTCCCGCCCGGCTCTGGAAGGGGGAAAGGGGTAATAACTTACCTTTTTCCAGCGCTGGGCGGAGAGCTCTCCTCCTCCCTCCCCGGCCGCTGAATGCGCGCAGCGCAAGAGCTGTGCCATTCAGCCGTATAGGAAAGCATTTACAATGCTTTCTATGACGCTGCGTCCTCACTGTGAAAATCACAGTGAGAAGCACGCAAGCGCCTCTAGTGGCTGTCAATGAGACAGCCACTAGAGGATTAGGGGGAAGGCTTAACCCATTCATAATTATAGCAGTTTCTCTGAAACTGCAATAATTATGAAAAAATGGGTTAACCCTAGAAGGACCTGGCACCCAGACCACTTCATTAAGCTGAAGTGGTCTGGGTGCCTAGAGTGGTCCTTTAACTGAAACAGTGAAGTAAAACAATTCATATGAAATCGTGTGAAACCTACTTCTAAAATAGGGCATTTGGTTATAAATATATGAACAACCCTCGTATATAAGCGAACGTTACGAGATTAACGAAAACTGTACGAAATCCAACAACTTGGTTTTCGACCGTTTGAGCCGAACAAGTGCGTTCGTGCACATGCTCCCGAAAGGCCACTAAACCTAAATGGGATACAAACAGGCTGGAAATAGACGAAAGACCGTACTATAGCCTAATCTTTCACATAGCCGCGAGAAAACAGAAAAGGAGATTAAAGCATACAGCTGCCCCGAAATGATGCTGAGCGCCCACGACTGAGTTGTGACTGGCGGCTCGACTCACGTTTTTTATGATTCACTCAACGAAGTGACTGGGAATCATTTCAAGGTTCTGGAGAGTTGAAAGACAGCGAAACAGATGAACAGGAGCTGCAGGACCAGGTAATCGTTCACATGAGTTGAAGGTAAGTAAAATGGCGGTTTGCACAGACCGGAAGTCATGGTATGCACCAGACTGAAAACGATAATGGGGAGTGGTCAGACGTCCCTTAAGGGAAACCTAGCCCCTCCCACAACTACAGGCCGAGCCTTACACACTATCATTTTTTTATTTTATTTTTGTATATACTAAGAATAAAGTGAATGGCTTCTCTTAAGACTTTCCCCTCAAACGGACATGCTGTTTTGGCAATATATGATATGCTCTGAATTCGTTTTTTAAAGGGCAGTAGATATGTTTATCCTTTTATTGTTTGGCATTCTGAACTATTGTACGGACTCTGGCTTAATTGAAGGTATACCTCTAGGCACACTGCTAAAAGATCTGTGAAGGAAGGTGGAAGTCTATTACATTAAATATATACAAAGGCTTCTTCTCATTTACGATGAGTGAGTGCAATATTTAACCTAGTAAAAAGGTTGTTTTTTTTTGCTTGTTATTTTTAACAGAGATATACTATTGCAGGAATAGGCAACCTTCAGCATTACAGATATTGCGGATGTGGATTACATCTCCTATAATGCTCTTACATCCAAAATGCTGGAAAACATTCATAAGAACTGCAAATTCCTCCCAATAAGTCAGTATGACTCATTTTTGTGAATATTTTAGCAATGATCCAACAACACACAATGGGAAACTTGACTTTAATGAGTTGGGTACACAGAAGAGAGGGCGCCAGCTGTTATAACTATCAGCAACCCACATACAAATCCTGTCCTGTAGAAATTATAACTTCAGACTACAAAATCACAGAATCCCACCACATCTCCTTCTGTGCCATGTGAGTGGTTAATTTATTCTAACAACAATATGGATTAGGATTTCATACCAACAGACTATAAGAAATTGACAAGTATGAAACAATCACACAACTTGTGTGCAAGATTATAGTACATGCTCAGGTCCACCTAACAAACAGTCTATGGCAAATAACCTACTAAAACTACCTAATAAAAACACCACATAGGTTACATCACAAATAGACTGTTAAACAAATGAGAGGTTATTGAAAGGTAAGGTGGGAGTTACCTTCTCCTTATCTCTACCAATTGTCACCATTAATTGTATTTGCTATGAATTTCTATTACATTTTCTTACGTCATGACATTTTACATTATTACAGAGAAATGCATATGGATGAATCCATCATGCTCAAAAAGACCTGAAGTGACAGGGTTTCCATCCACAAGAAGAAAAAACAAAATTCACCAATAAAATCAAAAGCATTTGATAATTAGAAACTACTTGGCCATTAGGAGTTGACAAGTAAAAAAAAAAAAAAAAAAACACCTGAAACACACCAGTTGTTATGAACTACACTTCCCTGAAGTCGAGGTAGCCGTAATTCTTGCTAACCAGCATATTAGAATGTAGTCAACCACTGCTAACTAATGGACAGGTAGTTAATATGGCCATTCAACTGAGCATGAACTGCAGTGCACAGCAGCCGTAACAAGAAAGTTAGCCATCACTGACGTAGGAGATTGCACATTGTAAAGAAAACAGAAAGCACGATAACTAATTGGAACGTTCAAGGTGAGGTTTTCAAGTACTTGATGAATAAGGAAATGGATAACATATTCAGGGTTATTCAACAAACTCAGAATTTTCAAGAATCCATTCCAAATGGCAACAATAATGTAAAAATAGCCAAGCTGTGACTATATAGCTGATTTGATGATTTTCTTTCTCCAGATCAGCTATTTTTGCATCAGTTTTGCCAATCTGAATTAACAGCAAAACGTGGCTTGTGTAAATGGTAGGCATGTAGAGTATGTTTGCAGAATTGCCATGTATTCATTGACACATCCCATTGCCCGGGTATGTTTATAGTTTACAAGAGGCAGAAATTCACCAGAAATACAAACCTATGCCTTTATATATTAGAGGTGGGAAATACATTTATCTAATGTATAGTACACAATAGGGCAGCGCTTAAGTGTTATTTGTCCATACTACACACAGTAGACTTCAGTCCTGGGCTCCATGGTGGACGACACGTAGAGGCCACCATGTTGGATGACTCACACAGCGTCCATGGATGTCTCTCACAGTCCCGGCACACACAGCGTCCATGGATGTCTCTCACAGTCCCGGCACACACAGTTACCATGGATGTCTCTCACAGCCTGGCACACAGTTACCATGGATGTCTCTCTCAGCCTGGCACACAGTTACCATGGATGTCTCTCTCAGCCTGGCACACAGTTACCATGGATGTCTCTCTCAGCCTGGCACACAGTTACCATGGATGTCTCTCTCAGCCTGGCACACAGTTACCATGGATGTCTCTCTCAGCCTGGCACACACCATGGATTCTCTCTCAGCCTGGCACACAGTTACCATGGATGTCTCTCTCAGCCTGGCACACAGTTACCATGGATGTCTCTCTCAGCCTGGCTGGATGTCTCTCACAGCCTGGCAGTTACCATGGATGTACAGCACACAGTTACCATGGATGTCTTACCATGGATGCCTGGCACACAGTTACCATGGCATGTCTCTCTCAGCCTGGCACACAGTTATGTCTCTCTCAGCCTGGCATTACCATGGATGTCTCTCTCAGCCTGGCACACAGTTACCATGGATGTCTCTCTCAGCCTGGCACACAGTTACCATGGATGTCTCTCTCAGCCTGGCACACAGTTACCATGGATGTCTCTCTCAGCCTGGCACACAGTTACCATGGATGTCTCTCTCAGCCTGGCACACAGTTACCATGGATGTCTCTCTCAGCCTGGCACACAGTTACCATGGATGTCTCTCTCAGCCTGGCACACAGTTACCATGGATGTCTCTCTCAGCCTGGCACACAGTTACCATGGATGTCTCTCTCAGCCTGGCACACAGTTACCATGGATGTCTCTCTCAGCCTGGCACACAGTTACCATGGATGTCTCTCTCAGCCTGGCACACAGTTACCATGGATGTCTCTCTCAGCCTGGCACACAGTTACCATGGATGTCTCTCTCAGCCTGGCACACAGTTACCATGGATGTCTCTCACAGCCTGGCACACAGTTACCATGGATGTCTCTCACAGCCTGGCACACAGTTACCATGGATGTCTCTCTCAGCCTGGCACACAGTTACCATGGATGTCTCTCACAGCCTGGCACACAGTTACCATGGATGTCTCTCACAGCCTGGCACACAGTTACCATGGATGTCTCTCTCACAGCCCGGCACACAGTTACCATGGATGTCTCTCACAGCCTGGCACACAGTTACCATGGATGTCTCTCTCACAGCCCGGCACACAGTTACCATGGATGTATCTCTCAGCCTGGCACACAGTTACCATGGATGTCTCTCTCACAGCCCGGCACACAGTTACCATGGAGGTCTCTCACAGCCTGGCACACAGTTACCATGGAGGTCTCTCACAGCCTGGCACACAGTTACCATGGAGGTCTCTCACAGCCTGGCACACAGTTACCATGGATGTCTCTCTCAGCCTGGCACACAGTTACCATGGATGTCTCTCTCAGCCTGGCACACAGTTACCATGGATGTCTCTCTCAGCCTGGCACACAGTTACCATGGATGTCTCTCTCAGCCTGGCACACAGTTACCATGGATGTCTCTCTCAGCCTGGCACACAGTTACCATGGATGTCTCTCTCAGCCTGGCACACAGTTACCATGGATGTCTCTCTCAGCCTGGCACACAGTTACCATGGATGTCTCTCTCAGCCTGGCACACAGTTACCATGGATGTCTCTCTCAGCCTGGCACACAGTTACCATGGATGTCTCTCTCAGCCTGGCACACAGTTACCATGGATGTCTCTCTCAGCCTGGCACACAGTTACCATGGATGTCTCTCTCAGCCTGGCACACAGTTACCATGGATGTCTCTCTCAGCCTGGCACACAGTTACCATGGATGTCTCTCTCAGCCTGGCACACAGTTACCATGGATGTCTCTCTCAGCCTGGCACACAGTTACCATGGATGTCTCTCACAGCCTGGCACACAGTTACCATGGATGTCTCTCACAGCCTGGCACACAGTTACCATGGATGTCTCTCACAGCCTGGCACACAGTTACCATGGATGTCTCTCACAGCCTGGCACACAGTTACCATGGATGTCTCTCACAGCCTGGCACACAGTTACCATGGATGTCTCTCTCAGCCTGGCACACAGTTACCATGGATGTCTCTCTCAGCCTGGCACACAGTTACCATGGATGTCTCTCTCAGCCTGGCACACAGTTACCATGGATGTCTCTCACAGCCTGGCACACAGTTACCATGGATGTCTCTCACAGCCTGGCACACAGTTACCATGGATGTCTCTCACAGCCTGGCACACAGTTACCATGGATGTCTCTCTCAGCCTGGCACACAGTTACCATGGTGGGAAGGAGCACATATCTCACCCGCAGTCCGGGGCCGGGCACCATCTGCAGTCGGGGTCGGCGGCCAGGCAGCGCCGCAGCAGGAACTCCTCGTACTTGCGGGTGAGCGGGGGGTCCCGCAGGATGGCCCGGACATGCTGGGGGCTGAGCCGCTCGGCACACTCCGGGCAGCGCAGGTTCACCCGGCTCTCGGTGATCTCGATCCGCAGGTATTGGCGCAGGCAGCGCAGACATGACCGGTGACGGCAGCTGAGTAACTCGGGCAGCTCCTCGGGGGGCTGGCGGATGAGGCACAGGGGGCACTCCAGCAGCGAGTCAGGGCCCGCGGGGGGCGATGGCGGCGGGAACACCGAGGCCGGTACGGTGGGGGGAGGAGGAGAGGGCGGCGGAGATGGCACAGAGGGCTCGGGCACAGCGCGGGTCCTGCCCGGGAACACATTGGGCAGGGAGAGGAGGAAGCGGCGGCGCCGGGCCCCCGGGCAGGGAGGAGGCTCCGCGGAGCCCTCTGTCATAGCTGGGACACCGGAGCCACCAAACCAGGAAGTGGCCAGTGTCCGGGGATCCTACTGCGCAGGCGCACTGCGCATCCCTAGGGCCGCCAGGAGCTGGCACGGAGCATGCGCACTGAGAGAGGGCGGGGCTGCGCGTTATCTGTGTGTGTGCCGGTGTTCTGATAGAACAGCTGGTGTGCGGTACTCAGAGCACTGAGCGGCTATAGAGGATATGGAATATTACTCACTAAATGTCACGTTACAGACACACACTGCATTCTCCAATATAGCTATAGTCACAGCTTGGCTAGATTAATCAGCAGGATTTATATTCTACTATTTAGCATAAACCACAGCAAGCAGGGAGAGCTGAGCTGACTGTATATTCCTTACAGCCCATTAATTAGTAGGGATGTGCTTTATTATCAGTGCTCCCAGGTTATGACAGGTCAGAACAAGAAGCAGAGTATAGCTTAATTGGCATACAGGTAGGGTGGCAACCTAGCCACTATTAAAGGCTGTCTAACCGGTGCCAGTATTGCAAAAGCTGCTATTTTCTGTAATGGGACTCTCAAAAAGAGGGCAGTGAAAAATGAAGCAAACATATCCAACTCCATTATACATGGCGGGTACACACATTGCTGTATACACACAATGAAACACACAGACACACAAAGTGTGACATTTTGTCTCATGTCAAGCATATATTAATTATGCAAATGACCATGTACTGTATTTGTTTCCTAAAAAAAATGGTGCAACCCAACTCAGGGTTATTCACTAAAATGAGAATTCAAAGTGAATTTCAAATTTAAGGACAAAATAGTCAAACTGGAAAATTTCTTTAAGTCAACTACACTTCCAGTTCAGCTATTTTTTGTCTTACATTTTAAATTCACTTTGTATAACCCTTTGAATAACCCTGATAATGTTTTCACTTACGGGCCTGGTCTGTTGTGGTTATACAAGCACATTCTTTTTTTTTTTTTTTTTTTTTATTGTGCATGAAATCATAACGTATTGGTCTACTATGCCCCAACAGCATGTGTAGCCGTAGTATACAGAATTTCAAAACAGTTTGTCAGCATTATGATGATAATGATGACTTTTTATATATAAATTTTTAGCAACAAGGGCAATGGCGTGTGTATGTAACAGGAAGGCTGGGGATCTACAACGTATGCCATAGCCACTAATAGTGTAATCTAACCATAAACGTGGTATAAAGTGTACGAAGAGAAAGGCATAACTGCTTGTGTGTGAGCCGCTAGTGTTCAAACGGTGGCCATAACAGCAGTAGCCGCTGACCCAGTGTCTGTGGAGATGTTAAAAAACGTCTAAAGGCCTGAAGAGTCCATTATACCCTGGTAAGGGCTGTTGGTTGTCACCTATTCAGCTGTAGGTTTTAGATAGGTGCAATTTGTTTTGTTACGAATGTACATTCGGATTAAAGTCCACAGAATCGTGATTGCAGATACCATATAAATCAGAGTTAATCTTACTTTAGACCAGAGGTGGGCAATCTGCAGCCCTCAAGATGTTTTGGACTACATCTCCTATTATGCTCTTAGGGCCATAATGCTAGCAAAGCATTAAGGGAGATGTAGTCCAAAACATCTGGAGGGCGGCAGATTGCCCACCCCTGCTCTAGACCAAAGTGCCCAAAAGGTAGCTCTCCTACAATCTCCATGATGTTTTGTCATTGTAAATGCATTCTGAAGGCATGCAGAGCATCAAGGGAGTTGTAGTTCAACATCTGGGGGATCTACAGTTTGGGCACGCCTCACCTTTGTTAAAAGTGACATTGTAAGGGCCATAACAAATACACCTCATTGTAGTGGCTATTGTGCTACTAGGCAGCAGGTTGCTTTCCTAGTTCTGGTTTAATCTGCTTTCAAAACTGGAGGCTCCTCAAAGCACCCGCAGCCTGGCCAAACTGGTTACATTGCTACTGTATAAAATCCACTATTATTGTCAACTTTCTTTCAAAGACCACTATAGTGCCAGGAAAACAATCTCTTTCCTGGCACTATTGTGTTAATAGGTCCCCCCCACCCCCTCATGGCTCTCCTCCCGCCAGGCTCTAGGGGGAGCAAGGGGTTAAAGGCTTACCTTTCTCCAGCACCGGGCTCCCTCTGCACTGGGGACTCTCCTCCCTGTTCAGTCCATAGGAAAGCACTCTCAATGCTTTCCTATGGACGCTGGCATTTTCTCACTGAAAATCAGTGAGAAGCGCGGAAGCGCCTCTAGTAGGTGTCAATGGGACAGCCACTAGAGGCTGGATTAATCCTAATGTAAACATAACAGTTTCTATGAAACTGCTATGCTTACAGCAAGCAGGGTTAACCCTAGATGGACCTGGCACTCAGAACACTTCATTGAGCTGAAGTGGTATGGGTGCCTAAAGTGGTCCTTTAATGCTTGGACCAGATGAGTCTTTAGGGACCCAAGTTTTGGCCCCACTGCTCACAATTATTTTACTCAGATTTGGTTTAAGAGCATGCCCACATCCTACTAGCACCATAACTATTTCAATGGCATGTAGTCATTCAAAATCCCTTTAACCAAGCTATAACACAGCAGAGTTTTTACACACACATTTGTGTTGCAATAATGCGGTCAGCATTAAAAAGGCAAAGTTTTAATTATATAAGCTCATAACTCCTGTCTTTTCCCAGGAGTTTCACTAAACTCATACAAAATAAAGGAACACTCCAATCACCATAATCACAATCGGCCAATCGGATGCTTTTAGTGTCAGCTGTCTAAAAACACTGACAGATACTGCCACATCACACCTTCACATTAGCTGCTGGATACATATAAAGCTATAATAGTATATATACACACACACACACACATTTTAGAAGTCACGCATACAACAGACTTCAAAATAGAGCACGGTATGAAGAGCCTAGCTGGAAGTATCTATGCATCTATACCTTTGTACACTCCTGATAAACCTATGTATTTATTGACTCATTAAGATTAATAAGAGGTGCTTACATGCACGATAATCAGCTTGTGGCTTCTCCACTAAAGGGAAGAATATCACTAAAGTAGATGAAAGAACGTCACAGGGAGAGACAGACCTGGCTTAGCCAAGTCTGCAATTTCTTGGTTGAAAAAATAAATGGAGGACCTCCTCACGGGCATAAAAGTATCACATTTGATGAGGAATGGAACAACTTGGTTCACAATCATATAGTTAGAAAAGTGGTAGGCAACCTTTTGTGCCTCAGATGTTATAAACTGCATCACTCATAATGCTCTTTATATGCCATAATGCTGGGAAAGCATCAGAGCAAATGTAGTCCACAACATCTGGAGTACCAAAAAGTTGCCTAGCATATCCAAGACTGATTAAACAGGCAAGAAAACAAAAAACAGACACATCTAGTGAAATTACAGACTAGAAAGTGTGAACTGTGCATACATAGAATAGTAAATAAATAAACCGACACTACACAAGAGACACTTGCAGACCTTTTATTGCACTGGTAAAAATGTAAGGCACTGTAATATTTAGGAATTGGTAGAAAGATGTAATTACCCGAACCCCAGCAAGGGTCAGAATTCTAAGAAGTGTATATTTTATTCCTAGGTCCATTCAACATGATATTCATTTTGTGATTATTCCAACGTCAAATTAAAAAACCCACCACTGGTATGCAGGATCATCCTTGATTTGCTTCGGTCTAAAGACACATTTACACATGTTTGTGATGGACAGATCTTATCTTGCCGTTAGTGACAGCGCTTTATTCACAGTGTACGTCGAAAAGGCCATGCAAAAAGGTTTTTCCTCCCAGAACATAAGTAGAAGTGCATATTGCCTTTGTGTTAAATCATATAAAGAGATTTTTGCAATGAGCTGACATTTTCATAACACAGGAGATGGCAAGACTCAGTGGTAATGGTGGGGTTGGGTGTAAGATGGATCAGGTACAAAAACAGCATCACAGGTCAACAGCCAGTGCAGGCCTTAAAAACACATTGGGCACATCTTTGGGCCTGCAGACAGCACAGTTCTGGAAAGGCTGGGAATCAGTGTGCTGAAATGAACAAAAGGAAAACGAATGAATGATGTGAAATAAGTTTTTTATTCCTCTATCGCTTTCAAATAAATATATGAATAATTATATACACATATACTGATTTACCACTACCTCTAAAAAAAGGTTATATTTACATAGGCAACTGTCCAAAATAAGGTATTTTTGTAATACAAATCCTAAGTTTACCGCTAGAAATTAACTGCATATTTGAAGGTTTATAAAATACAGGAACAGGCACATCAGTCATTCACTCAACTTCCATGAGTGCTTATCTAAGCATTTAATGAAAACTGACAAGCTCAAAAAGTTTATAAAAACAGATTGTAACTGCAATAATAAGCAACAGGAATCAACGTTTGTGGTTGCCATTGTTTTTATTAAGTCAGGACAGTGGTTGCTTCCATAGGAAATACAAATTGCAATACAGCAAGATTCCAGTAATTTGCTACTACGTAGTGTCCGTGTTAAAGGATCAGAATTAGACAGGAGACTCTTAGATAGTGTAGGACAGAGAGCTCCTGCTGTTCTCTATGCATCAGCTTACAGGGAAACTCATGTGAAGTTGGAGCTCACAAAGTGTTCAATGAATTCCCAATTAAAAGGAGCATCTCAGCTCAAGGAAGTCTCTCTGGTTCAAAGTTACTTGCAAGTTTCCTTGGACTGAATAACATTGGAAAGGGTAGCTTAATCAGCTGAAAAACTTTCCAAAGTATATACTTAAGGGGAACCGTGGCAAGTTATTTCCCCAATGATGTGCCAAATTTCCTTAATCTTGTACGCAAATAGTTTCAAAATTAAAATTTTTACAAATTTTTTTATCTAGTGGCTTAACATGTCCTATGGTGCTAGACCAATACGTGGTGTTGTGTAGGCGCCCATCAGCAAACTGACTAAAGTTCTAATCTTCTGCACTTTATGGACTTCTATTTCATATAAAAATAACACTATCTTTACAATGAGCTCTGGAGAATGCTGCCAGGATACTAGCGAACACGACATCCGGGGACTGAGCAGCATCCACTGCTGTGTGGATCCCATGGCGTTGGTAATATGACACCAACGGAGAGGTCATTGTGTGGTAGGCCTCCAGCCGAGATTTCAGTGTAACTTCATTATCATCAGATCGTCGTATAAGAGGTTCACCAGTTACCTAGGATGAAATTTAAGAATTGGTCAAGGTCATCAACATACAAACAGATAAGAGTATTCAGGCCTTTCTTTTCTTTGAAGGCCTTTTATTGAACAAGAATATTTTATATTGGATAAACTCGACAGCAGTTCTGAATTGCAATGTTAAAGCCAGTCTGCCTTTTTTTGTAGTGTGTCTACTCTATTAAAAAGGGCCAGTCCGGGAACCGTAACAATCAAAATTGTTATCCTGCCAGGTGATCCCTGGTGCTGGCTCACCTTCAGGGGTTAAAAAACAAAACAACGTCTGTGTTCCAATGCCGAATCTCCTGCCTCTGTCCTTAGGTTTTCTCAAAATCTTTAAACCGGAAGGCTCTTGCAGAATCTAGCACCGGCGCTGCTGCTCTCTCAGCCAAACAGTGAACGGTTTAACCCCTGAAGATGAGCCAGCACCAGGGAACTCCTGGCAGCATAACAACTTAAAACCTTTTTCAAGTCAGTTTTTTTTTTTATGAATGGGAAGTCACAGATTGGCCGAGAGCATCTCCTGCCAGATTCTTCAAGAGCCTTTCTGCTGAAAGATTTTGAGAAAACAGAAGGACAGCGAGGCGTCACAGAGCTGGGACACAGACTTTGGGGTTAAACTGTTCAAGGGTGGAGGAGGCAGAGGGAGCTATAGTGTCAGGATTACAGCTTTCTATTCCTGGCACTATAGTATCCCTGTAAGGTGAGCCTGCACCAGGGACCGCCTGGCACCATAACTTTATTTTGATGAGGTTGTGATGGCGCCCTGTTATCCCCTTAACAGCCTCAAGTCAGTAACAAAAGTCATGTTTTGACTAATTTGTAGGGTTGGTTAAGACCTTACTGGCAACTAATGAATGTTTAGTGCATCACTTCAGCATAAAAAACGCTGCACCAACACTGGCACCGCTCAACAAAGGCCACCCGGAAAGCGACCTAGCCCATATACCAGTTGACGCTCAGCTCCACCATACGCATGCAACTGGAACTACGTGCCTGACGAAACACAAATGGCCTTCTCTTTTCCATCGTGACGAGAGAGCCTTCCACCGACACAAAACACACCACGACTTGTACCGACACACAGGGCACTACATAACAACATCAAACTTACGATTGAACACGGAAAGTGCTCGACAACTCCCCACTTGACGAAAGTCCCTCGGGCAGGTACATGAACCAAAATGTAAAAGCCCTACATACTCGACCTACCACTGAAAACACATTGAGATCCTCAAGTCCCTAGAATGCACGCTGTCCATTACTCCAAACCAATGGGTTTGACCCCTACACTTATACAACAACTCCCCTACCACAGGATAAACTAAGAAGGACAGGGAAAACATTAAACACGCATCAACGTGGGGAAATCTCTACGTACCACGCATAGGCTGTCAAAACCGTACACGTCCAACCTTAAAATAATCGAGATGCCGCAAGCCTCTATTACCCAAAAGAACGGACCTGCATGTCTCGTATTTGAACTGTGACTCTGGGCCCTGCGTGAGCAACTTTTTCTTTCCATCCTTGATTTATCCGATTATATGAAAATAATCTCATGTTTTACAAATACATACAATAATTATATTTACAAAAAAACAAAAACAAAAACCCAAAACGCTGAACATATATGACTAAGGTCGAAATGTTTTTTTGCCTTCACTCTACGGTGTGACACCTCTGGACCTTTATTTCTTGTGGTTCCTGGTGGGCTGCGGACCCCACGTGAAACATATAGCACTCCCCTTCCTTCCTATCACTCCATGTTGAGTGGCCAGTGTCTGACAGGAAGTGAAATCACACATAGCTCCATTTTGGCATTATTTGTTAAATAAATCATGACAGTGTAATATACCATGTCTTCTTTATCTGAGGTTGTATTTGATTGATATTAATCAGCTAAGCAACAGATGATTGTTATGCCCTGATATGTAAAACCATAGAATTCATAGGAGGGTGTACTTTTTCCCCCCATGACTGTATGTGAAAGAGCCACTGTTTCTACCTCAGGCTATCTGCCATGACTGCTTCGTACTCCAGTAGATACTTTTAACTAAATTGATATGTATCCATATGATATTCAAGTATACTCATTTAGGCCTTAAGAGTTAACTACAGCTAGGTTCCCCTTTGCACAATAGATAGATAAGATATAGAGAGAATATATATATATATATATATATATATATATATATATATATATATATATATATATATATATATATATATAGATTTTTTTTATTTATTTTTTTTTAAATAGGCAATTCAGGTATCAGTGTTCATTTTTATTTGGGGTTTACTTTTAGTATATTTATCTCTGTTTTGGATTACTTATTTGTATACATAACACATTAAATATGAATAAAATTATCTATTGGGGAAAGAATAATTTCTACACAAGTGTGACCAATCAAAAATAACTCAAATAGATTCACTAATAAGCCTTGATTGTTGAAATGCCCAATATGTTTAGATATAATAAAACAAATAAGTGAACTATAGTTTTAAAGCCTTTAAAAAAAAAAAAAAAATGGCTGGTAGAGATCAGAGATACAATAGTGTAAAAAAATAAATAAAATAAAAATAAAAATATACTGACAAATAAATCCAGAGTTAATTTCAATATGAAGTTTTTCACACATTTCATTTAACCATTTTATCAGCAACCTTGGTCAAACCTGCTAGTTACATTTAACAGGTTACTTAAACAAAAAAAAAAAAAAAACCTCTAATCACAGTTGACAGACAAATTCAAAATGTAAATGGTGTGTGAGACCCTACTGGTCTACAGTTACTAGCAGGCATGGAAATTCCAAAATGTAAATGGCGCCCTTTCTCAGAAACTGCACTGCTATCATTTGCAGGGACAGCATCTTTGCCCTATAATCATTTCATTAATGCTTAGACTGTTACTGGAACATTCAGAATGAAGAGACATTAAATTGATACCTTGTTCCCATCACTAAAGTCCAAGATCGAACAATGTGGAAGTTCACTGATGCAATCTGAGTTGCAGTAAAGAGATGTAAAGAAAGGCAGTTTTTATTTTGTCACAGTGGTGACAATGAATGCATAGCATTTTCATTTGCAGGTGCTGCAAACATGACAGCAAGTTCACAGGCACACAGCCAAAGTCATCCCGTCTAGCTACCTACCAACATCTATCATTCTCTCCTCTCCAAGACCCTATGCACTTTTCATGCACATGCTCTTAACCTCTATTTACATCTGAAAACCACAAGATGTGGATGAGAGGAAGCTTTTAAAAATAACCAAGTGTGGGTGGCAAGATGAGTTATTCACATCACCGTTCAAAAGAAGAGTATTATAAAAAAGAAAAAAATTCAATACCTGCACAGAATACAATTCTGAGAAACATTGGATCGGATAATCACACGTCACCCACAAAACTTGTGAGAAACATTTGATTGGCCAAAAAAAAAAAAAAAAAAAGTGGCGGATCATCATAAGTTGCAGTAATTAATTCAGGTATGATTTAGGAATTAGAAAAGGGACTTCATAAATATAGCACATGCATTTTTTTCTCTCAAATGCATTAACTATATGCATTGGGGGATGGGAGGGGGAGGAAGCGGGAGGTTATACATTTTCTAGCCAAGAGATTTCCTTTACTAATCCAATGTATGCTGAAATATAGAATTTCCTAAACTCCAAGGCTTTAATATCTGGATCCAAGCTATTATATCGTGACTGAGGGATTGGGTATGAATTTGTTTTTTTGCATGTCCAAAGATGAGAAATATTTTTTAAATAAAGATAAATAAAAAAACAAAAACAGAAAATATAGAATTTTCTTTAACCCCTTCAGGACGGAGTCAATAGTACACATTCTGATCAAAACAAAACGTAAACAAAAACTGGAATTTGCGCTATGTCTGTTCAACCGTAATTCACCGCTGTCACATTAAGTGCACCCACACATTATATATCCCGTTGTTCAGGAGAAACAGGGCTTTAATTTATCATTAACTATTCATATATGGAACATAATTTATTATGAATAAAATTTAATAAAATCTAAAAAAAAAATAATAATAAAAAAAAAAAAAAATTTAATTTGTATTTCCGTCTGACATTTTAGCTGTGAATGTCATAATACTATTAGGTTTTACTGCAAAAAAAAAAAATGCACATATTTGTAATCAGTGATGTCTCACGAGTACAACAGTGCCCCCCATTAACAGGTTTTATGGTGTTTTGAAACGTTACAGGGTCAAATATAGAACATTCCATTTTCAAATTGAAATTTGCCAGATTAATAATGTTAACTTTGAGACGGTGTGGTAGCCCAGGAATGAGAATTACCCCCATAATGGCATACCATTTGAAAAAGTAGACAAACCAAGGTACTGAAAGTGGGGTATGTTTAGTCTTTTTTAGTAGCCACAAACACTGGCCAAAGTTAGCGTTCATATTTGTTTTTGTGTGAAAAAAAAATCAAAAAATTAATATTTGGCCAGTGTTTGTGACTAAATGGCTACTAAAAGACTGGACATACCCCACTTGCAATACCTTGGGTTGTCTACTTTTGCAAATGGTATGCCATCATGGAGGTAATTCTCATTCCTGGGGTACTATACGCTCTCAAAGGCAACATAACCAATCTGGCAAATTTCAATGTCAAAAAAATGAAATGCAAGCCTTATATGTGACTCTCTAACTTCCCAAAACACCATAAAACCTGTACATGGAGGGATACTGTTATTCACGGGAGACTTCACTAAACACTAATATTAGGGTTTCAAAACAGTAAAACATATAACAATAATATAGTCCATAAAAGTGCCGTTTGTTTGTAAAAAACGTCACTTTTACTTAAAATATCATCATTGTAATGCAATTTATCATTTTGAAACACTAATATTTGAGTTCAGCGAAGTCTCCTGAGTAAAACAGTACCCCCTATGTACAGGTTTTATGGTGTCTTTTTTAAAAAAGTGTATTTTAAATCAATAAAAGTTATTTTTGGTTAGCCTTTTATACGAGGACCAATCTTATACTTATTTTTATTGTATTTTATACATTTCAACTACTCCTGGCACTTTCATATATTGTTTTTATACTATATTTTTTTATTTTCATTTTTAATTTTTATTTTTAATATTTATTTCTTAAAATACCATAACCCTGAAGTGTATCCTGTCCAAAGAAATCCTCAGGTGGGGATAATTCCACCAGCGCTGTGGTAATAGAGCAGTATTTGTCTGCTCTATTCTTGTAAGTATAACTTATTTTCTTAAAATATTTTTACTGTTCATACTGAGAGCACTATCTACTGTTTTATATATTTCGTGGATACCCATTATTCCAACTGGAGAGGCGGACCTATCTCCCCAAGCACCATAGAACTACGCACATCTGAGCAGGTTCCAGTCTACATCAAGGAAATCCAAAGTTGTGACAGACGGACCCATCACTAAAGTGTATCCGATAGTGGGGATTAAACCACTAAGTGCCTCTTCTCCTAGAGCTGGGTCAAGCTCCATCAAATGTGAGTGGATTACTTTTCTCTTGATTTATACATCACATCTAGACGTACTATATTTCACCATTGGAAGCTCTCTGTTTTTATTTCCACATATATGGACTATCTGCCACCACACGGACGGATCAACACCTGAGGAATATTACCCTACCATCACATATCAGTGAGACTGTCTTTATCCATTTTTAGACGAACTTTGTCTATTGACTATATTCTATTTTTTTTAATTATTTTTTTATTGTTTTTTAGCGCAGCCCTTTCCCCCCTTTTTTTGTATTTTACTGTCTCTACAAGGGTTTCTTGAGGGATTCCCTTATAGGGTTGCTGCTCCTCCGGTTTAGCGCAGACTCTTCTCCCCCCTTTGTTTTGCGAATGAATATACACACATATATACATATACACACACACACACACACACACACACACATATATATATATACACACACACACACACACACACACGATTATTTGGATTTTATATATAGAATGTCATTCTAAGTGTATTTTGTTACATACATACACATATATATATATATATATATATATATATATATATATATATATACACACACACACACACATATTAATAAGATACAGTTTGAATGAAATTACATATGAATATATAATTTATATTAAATTTTGTATATATATATATATATGTGTGTGTAACGTCATTCCAAGTGTATTTTAATACTAATATATGTACTTATATTAATATTAAAAACACACTTTGTATGACGTTATATATATATATATATATATATATATATATATATACACACACACACACATAAATACTTTTAGATAATTTTACACGTTTGTTTATTTATTTATTATTTTTTTTACACTTCCCACCAGCAGTGGGACTGACTGACATTTCAGACAGTCCCCCTGCTGGCAGATCCACAGCCAGCTATAGGGGGCCACGTGATCGTGATCACATAGCCCCCATGGTCTCATTTGCCGGGGGAGGGCTGCTTGGGCTGTCAGGCAGCCCTCCAGAAGAGGATTGCAGCGGAAGCAAGTACGCCGGACCTCCAGGGGCTCAAAGCCGTTACGGCGTTCTATGCCGCCGCAACAGCTTTAAAGCCCACTTAATGCAGGACGGCATAGAACGCCGTTAAGGGGTTAACTCCTAAATGACAGTGAATTGAGCAGTGAAATTGCAGGGGAATGATCTATACACTAAAACTGCTTTATTTAGCTAAAGTAATTTAGGTGACTATAGTGTTCTTTTAATAGAGAACAAATTTAAAGATATCAGTTATTCTTTAGTCCCTTCTTCAGTGACTACATAAGAGTCCCTAGACTCTTGCATACCTTTTTAGCACTGTTCTGGTAGTCTTGCAGTTGATGTTTCCTCTCTTCCATCTTTCACTTTTTCCTCGAATATAAAATTCACTCATTCTTTTTTCCTATGATTTTACTTTAGTTTAACGTTTTCTCTTATACATGGAAACTGTGTCAGGCTGACTTTAGGGTTTATGCCAAGAATTCTCAAATATATACACTCCTTAGTCAGTCAGTGAATTAATATAATGGCTCACAAAAACAAACACTATGATAAAGGGATTCTGTTAAAGACAGATTGTTAGGTTACACTTACATCGTCCTTCATGTGCTCTTTGGGTGGGTTGAATTCTTCATGGTATGAGCGCCCACTTGCTTGGTGTATTAGTCTAAAGCATGAAAAAAAAAAAAAAAAGAGGGAAGAATGTGTGGTGGTGTGTTAAAGCTGATAAAATGTTTCCAGATTTAAACAAAAGGGTAAGTGGGAGAATGGGGTGGAGAGACGGCAAAAAAAAAAAAAAAAAAAAAAAAAAAGGAGGAAATTAGTCTGCTGAAAGGAGGCTACAGTTACCTCCCACAAATTCTGCGAACAAGAAGAGAGTCTTCCACACTGAATTCAATAACCGAATCTAGCTTTTCCTGACGCTTGTCCAGAAGTTCATCAAGCTAAAAAGGAAAAATAATAAAATATCACATTTACAATTGGCATGTTATTAGCACTTTTGGTAAAAAAAAAAAAATCAGGCATTTCTCTGTCAAGTTTGCCTTTGGGTTATGAGCCAATCAAAAACATAATTACAAAAGGATGAAAGGAGAGTGTCAAAGTTCAAAAAACATGTAGAACTAGATATGGTAATACAAAGCAGAAGTGGGAAAAGAGTGAATGAAAAGGAAGAGGGAGAAACGACAGCACATCTTACTACAACCTATTATCTTATAGTGCTTTAACCCTTATCAGCAAGTAAGTGAAGACCTTGGCCACTTACTGTAGGATAGAGGAACATCCAAGCACTCTCCCTCAAACATTTACTAGCCAAGCATGTGCAATGGACCCTTCAAAGCTCTGACTGAATTGCAGCATTAGCCATTGCCAATCATGTGGTGTAGGTCCTGAATTCCTCTATGAGAATACAGCAGGTGCTGTAAGGAGACTGTACTGGATTTGGATTAAAGGTTAGGTATAGGATTTCGTTCACTTTTTTAATTTTTTTTTTTTAAAGGGGAGGAAACAGATCACATTACAAAAAAAAAAAAAAAAACATTTTAAAATTAGAATGGTCTGCACATATACATTTAGCATGCATGGAAAAGTGGATAGAATTGTGCTCCATGGAACGCTGGGCCTATCCTGTGACAATTTGTCTATATTACCAGACTCTGATAAATTGTAGGGGTTCCTACAGATCGCTCTATTGTTGGGGAATTCTTCCACAGACAGACCTCATATGCTATGGTTGAGTTTGCCACAGGGCTTCCAGACTGAATTACCCTGGAGGGAACAACAACAGTACCACCATTGAAATGTGGGGGTAACTATTTCTCTCTATATGGTACGGTTTTGAACGCCAAAGACATTTTGCATAAAATATTCCCAGGGTGGTGGAGCCTTCTACTCCCCACATATACCCCAAATTTCTCCTTTGACAACCAGCATACAGGGATTGTATGCTTCATCCCCAAATTACTACCAGTATTCTGCTGATTAAAAACAGCAGGAGTTGTGAAGGGATGTCGGTAGGCAGAGCATTGCTAAATAAGGCAGCATTGTGGATTTGTGCAGTGCCTCTACTAGCTCAGCACTCACGGGCCTGAACACATCTCTGTGAATGCAATAGAGATAAAGAACATTTTTATTTTTGAGGGGTGTTTGTGTATGTGTGGGAGAGGGGACAAAAAAGTTCAAACTTTGCAAAAATAATCAGTTAAGGAGTTATTTGATATTAAACTGTTTTAATATTGGGTTTTCAAGTTTTGTTTTAAAATTTGTGATACATATATAAGAAAAAAATAATATAACAATGTAAATCAAGTTGATAAAAGCACTCTCCAGTTTATACATCAATGTTTTAATTGTGGGTAGATGTAACATATTGCAGAGAGCTGCGCATTATGTTGTTGCTTTATAAGTAAATCAATGAAAGTCATATTATAGATTGAGTATGTTCTTACCATTTCTGCCTGCTTTACAGTGCGAGGAAAGCCATCCAGAAGGAAACCCTTTTTACATGGAGGAGTATCCAGATTATTCTCAATTAACTCCACCACCATCTCATCACTGACCTGGTAAAGAGAGAGAAAAAAAAAAAAAAACACACCAGAGACTGAAACATTAAAGAGTCACTAGGCACTATTGCAAAAATTATGGTACAGAGAGTACAGTACACCCTGTCTCCCTTTCTAGACAAGCCAATGACTGACTTGAAAAACCATAAGACTGGTCAGAGAAGGATGTGGAAAGACATCCCTCCATCTGACCTACAGTGAGCCTAAATCACATTATTTAATAACTACAAAACACAAAGTAAATAAAATTGCAGGGTCCCTTTTCTGCGTGTTATGTCCTACTAACATATATATATCCATACACTGGGTCAGTAACTCAAGTGCACTTACCAGTTTCCCTGCATCCATGGTGGCCTTAAGACGTTTACCGAGTTCTGAGCCAGAAGCCACCATGGCCCGCAGCATATCACCGGTGGCAAGGTGGCACACGCAGTACTTTTCTGCCAACTTTGGAGCCTGAGAAAAGAATAGGAATATGTATTTAAAATAGAGAGCAAAAAGAAGGAGGGAGCAGAGGATGCAATATCTGGTGTTACAAGAATGGAATACTAAAGAAAAATATTACTAAAATAAAAAAAAACTTTTAATGGTAGTCATAATGCCTAAAAAGTCTCTTAAGACAGAAGAGACCAACCACAACATACACTTATATACAAAACAAAATATAAAATTAAAATAGTAGGCTGGTCCACACTGCAGGTAAGATGGTAGGTGCAATGTAGAGCACTCAGTGGTATGTCAATTGGACAGTTTGGTAACAGAATGTCAACAAGCAAAGGATTGTTAGTAAGTGCTCGCTGAGTAGTCAACATTAATAGCTCTGTCTGTGCTTTGGCATCTATGTAACACAATAGCCTCAGGCATGTAGCCAAAAAATTTTAACAAAAAGTAGCTGGCAGTTAATGTGGTTAGATGTATGAAAATATCTGATGTGGGAGGTTAAGTTGAAAAAAACCACCTGCAGTTTTATCAGGTATAGAGCAGGATAGGGTGAAAAGAGAAAAATAGGGGTGGGGGGGAGGGGTAGAAAGGTAGATGTCCCTATTGTGCCTTCGAGGGCACGCCTTACCCCTAGAATCACCCTAGCCTGTATTTCAATAGAACCACCAGCTCTAAAAATTAAATGATAATCCTTGATGTAGGTAATAAAGAAAATAAAATTAGATGCCAAAACCAATAGAGTAAGTGCTTCTAAAAGCCTGAAGATACTGCAGACAGATGGTATGGACACAGCAATTCCCCAGACCCCCTATATGTATTTAAAGTAATATAATTTAGCCCATAAAAATTCAAACCTCATACTGTTACAGAAATTAAAGAAATTCCACAAAGACACATGAACATATTAAAATGTACCACACTTGTTACCTTGGGATTATTTAATTAATAGTGATCTGAAACCAAACTGCACAAACAAGGCAAAATTAGATAATTATGTAAACACTATATACACCTTAACCACTGTAGAGGTTATAGTGCCAGGAGTGCTCGGACACCACCAAATATCAGTAATAGTTTGACTTACCTGGGATCTATCTACTAGGTGTCACTTCCCACCTCCAACATACCCTTCAGCGAGCCTTGAACTGTCTGTGCTAAGCTTGTGGTACAGGGCTTAGTTCATTAACTGAGTGTGATCAACTGACACACTCAATGAGCTATCCCTGAACTAACCATGGCTACAGAAAGTGAAGTTTTCCCATCCCCGCTCTCCTCTGGATAATGCATTATCGAGGTACGGTCCTTGTGCCCAGACTCCAAGCTTGCTCTGGGAGGTTATTTCATATTGTGTCTAGCTAGAGTCTCACAGGTTTTTTTTAAGAAATACACATGCAGGTGTGAGAAGACTCAGGATAACCCCCACCAAGCATGTCCCCCACCATAGTCGTCTGCATGCCACTGGTCTGCACAAAACACCAATCACCAGCAGTATTTATGAATAGGAAAGGTCTAATTAAAACCAATTTTATTAGAACATTGGTTTTTGGTTGGAGTCAACCTTTGAGCTATGACTCCATGTAACCAGCCAACATAACAGGCATACTCTATTGATCAAGTACCAAGGCTTTGTAATAAGAAATTACAAACAGAAACATACATTATTTATTCTTAAAATTGGTAACCGTTACCTGCTTGTAACAACAATAAAAAACCAAAACACCTTAACTAGGCTATACGCCTGGATACCTAGAAAGACCAAACACAGGATTAGACTCACAGCATGGGTGCGCAAGTTAACGTCAGAGACCACAACTGTACAGTAACTTGTTAAAAAAAAGAAAAATTGTGTGCAGACTTATGTGATATGTAAAACTGTCTCATCACTCCTGTATTTGATACCATCTCTGTCACAGAAATGGAAGAAATGTAAACATGCACCGTAAAATAAAGAATTATAAAAAAAATTAAAAAAAAAAAAAATTGGTAACCGTTGCCAACTCACAGTTTACTCAACAGCACATAATATGCATTTAATAAACTAAACTTGATAATGATTATAAAATAACTACATTGATGCAAATACAATAATAATAATGCTACTACACTCAACTACTACTGTAACTTGTGTCAATCATTTTCCAGCAGTTGACAACACCCTGAAGAACATCTCTAACCCTGGATGGGTTAGTAAAATGCACACATCTCTGCATACTTACAAAGAACAATAATACATGTGCCCTGTTTTTTTTTTGGTGGCAGAATAGATTTTAACGGAACACTATAGTGTCAGTTATAAAAAAAAAAAAAAAAAAAAAAAAAAAAAAAAAAAAATGTGTTCCTGACACTATACTGTTGAACAAACAAAATAGAGTCCCGATGCCCCCCATATATCAGTCTGAAAACGTATTAAATATACCATTTCTACTGGGGATCTACCGTATAGTGTATATTTGTGTAGTGTGTATAGTGAATGCAGTGTGGGTGTTGTGTGCGTAAAGTGAATGCAGGGTGTCTGTGTAGTGTGTGTATTTACGAACTACAGAGTGTTTATATAATGAATGTAGAGTGTGTGTTTGTGTAGTGTGTTTATAGTGAATACAGTGTGTGTATATAATGCAGTGTGTGTGTTTCTGTAGGTATGTAGTTTGGGGGTGGGCATTTTTTTAATTAAAATTTTTTTTATTATTTTTATTTTTTTTAGTCCCCCCCCTCCCTGCATGTTACCTGGCCAGGGAGGGGGAATATAGCATTCCCTAGTGGTCCAGTGGCATGGAAAGTACAGTGGGGGTCCACAGCAAGCACTTACCTTCCCAGCAGCTCCCCATTGTAAATCTCGTGGCCTGTGTGCCGCGCGGAGCGTCGCCATAGTACCTCGTGGCAAGGCTCTGACGGCCATGGGAGTCACAAGATTTACACAGGGAGCTGCTGGGAAGGTAAGTGCTTCCTGCGGATGCCCCCAGGACCGCCAGGCTTGTCATGGGCCCAGCGGTCCTGGTATGTATTATCGGCATCTATTGGCCAATACTGATATTGCCAAAAATACCGGTCGATCCCCAATTTCTATCACGTTTTGCTGATCTCACAGTAGCTGGCTCCACTTCCATAACGGAGGTAATCAATCTTAATGATTTCAGCCAATCCAGTGCTTTCCAATAGGAAACCACTGGAAAGCCATTGCACGTGCGTGACAAGCACCTATTAGCATTTCCTCATAGAGAAATATTTGATCAATGCATCTCTACTGCGAACGTGCAGTGCCTCCATGGAGAGTAAGGAGACGCTGAACACTGCGCAGCATTGGACTAGGAAGCACCTCTAGAGGCATTCTGAGTGACTGTCACTAGAGGATTTCTTAGGCAGCAATGTAAACATGGCATTTTCTCTGAAAAGACAGCATTTACATTGAAAAGCCTGCAGGGACATAATATACACAACAACTACTTAAACTGTAGCAATTCTGGGGACTATAGACTAGAGCACAGTTTTTTTTCCATGAAGTATTAAATCAAATTCATTTTAATCTACGCCCAAATGTATCGATCCGTCGGATTTACCTGTGGAATCTTACTTGTTCGAGCATAGATTAAATGTTGATTCAACGGAAAATAAATCAAGTAAAATAAGGCGCTGTGAATGATTTAAAAGTTAAATTTGTTAAAAAAAAAAAAAAAAGCAAGCAGCACTAATTAAGTGTAAAATAGCTTCAAAAACACGCTATATAAAAGTAGGATAGAAAAAAAGTGCGCTGTGCCTTTAAGGATAGTGAGTGATATATAAAAATCTGTGTGTGTATATTCATATACATAAAGTGCAAACCCAAATACATTATATATTTATATAGTGTATCTTAAATAAAATTTAAAAAAGTGCCTAAGTGATACAATGTATTTTTTTAAAAAAAGGGAAGGGAAACAGGAAAAAAAATTATATAGTGTAGAATCTGTGGATGCATGTTTTCAGACGCACTGAAGAAAGCTTGCATCCCCTGAAAGAACTGCACAGTGTTCCGGTGCCCGAAAAGAACGCAAATGCTAGCCAGCGTGTCAGGAGGGTCTGAGGACTGGTTCTACAGAGAATGAGCTTGTGATTTTAAAGTTTTCTACTGTTACCAATAAAAGGTTTGAACTACATCTAGCTGATGTCCTGTCTGTGATATCGTGGTCCTGCATCTTGAAATATCTGAGCTTTCAAAGTGAGAGCAGACTTTTACTGCTCCGTGCTTGTAAGTTGATTGGTTTACTATTTTATATTTCTGTGCTTGATCCACAGATTTACACTACAGTGGGACCTCTGTTTACAAAAGCCTCGGTTAACAATTTTCGGTTTACAAATGAAAATCCATTGAATATAATGCCTCGGTTTACAAAAAATTTTTGCAATACAAAGCAAGTTTCCCTAGGATGCATTGTACCTGGGAGGTTTATTGCACCGCTCCCTGCATGCTGGAGCCTGTGGGTAGCACGTGGCATGGAGTGTTGGCGCGGCTTTTGCATCGAGTTTTGGAGCCATTCTGGAAATTGTTTTCAGTTGTTTTTGGTGCATTTCTCAAAATGTGTTAAGGTAGGGAGCTGAGCTTCGTCGTTTGCATGCCTTTTATTGTGTGTTCTGCATTGTGGGTTGGTTTCCATGCCAGCTCATTTTGACTCTTTCTCGGACCTCCAGAATGGATTAATTGGTTTTCAATGCATTCCTGTGGGAAACCACGTTTCGGTTTACAAATGTTCGCAATAAGAAAAGTCCCGGAGAAGGCATTAAATTCATAAACCGAAGTCCCACTGTATATATTCCCCGTGTCCCTTCCTTTTTCCTCTTTTGGCCTGATATATCCAATAGTTGGGAGGATATATTCCCCTTTTCACGTTATTTATGTAAGTGCTCTTTTTTTATACATTGTATCAGTTAGGCACCTGTTTTTGATAGATTTAAGATATATATATATATATATATATATATTTATATTGTATTTGCACTTTATGTGTATATGAATCACTATCCTTAAAAGGCACAGCACACTTTTTTCTGTCCTAAATGTTGATTCGATTATACCAGCTGAGAAAAAAAAAAGAAAAAAAAAAAGCGCCCAACCTTAATTGCAACATAATTACCCAAGCAAAACATTTCCAATCATTAAACGAGTACTACTGCATTCAAAGAATTATTTTGTGCAGGTTCTAAATGGAGCAATCATCATGGAATTTAAACATTGAGCTCCTTCTAGTTTATCAACGTTTTGAACTTCGACCCACATTCATAACTGATCTATATAGATAATTTAAGGGGTGGGGTGATCGTATAGGGAAGAATTCTGGAGCAAGGTTCTAAAACTGGAACGATCAGTGACTGCTTCATCTTTAACACTTTGTCTCAGAATTAAGCTCTGGAGACCGGTAACCAATCCCGGTGCGCGACGTCAGAAAGCCAATTCCACGCCGCGCGGCTCCGTTCTAAGGTGCTAGTTCTGACCGACAGCATCTCCCGTGACATTCTATTCGGTGTGATAAACACCCTGCTTATTCTCATAGCGCGTTAAAACTTAACCGTAAGTCACCCATTCCTCGCACGTGTTTGTCGCTTTTTACCTGGGTTCCCTTGCCGGCTCCGGGAGGGCCCAGCAGGATAGCCCGGATTCCCTCCCTCACGGATCCCCGTCCCTGCTCCGCCGTGTCCCTGGGAGACATGATTAGCTTTACGGGCAGCGGCCACGAGACAGGTACGGCGAGAAGGTGTCAAACGTTCCTTCACTGTGGTTGGACGGGAGGTACGTCCGTCAGCAACCCAATTTAGACACGAGACTCCCCATTGGGTAATATTTTGATAGTGGGCGGACTCTGGGAGCGGCAAGCGGAAGAGGGATCCCCGTATCGGAGAGTGACATTGGGAGCGCCGAACCAATGACAGGCGGGACGGCCTCCCTTCATAACGGAAACACGTGGTGCGTGCCAACAGGAGCTATTCACTAAACAACGATACTCCAATTTATATGCCAGCATTCCTCGCATTGAATAACATGGCCACATCGGATTTCAAGGCATCGCTCGCTAAACTGAGAATTATTATGAGATTTATAATTCAAGTAACAAAGTTTAGACCAACATTGTTGACTTGAAAAAAAAAAAAAAGCAACTCTCCAACTTAGTTGTTTTAAGCTAAAATTTGCCCTTTGATTTTAGTTCGCTATTATAATGTATAATATACAGGTATAGGCTTTGCTAGGTGTAGGCTTAAAGGGACAAAGGATAATAAGCACGCAGACCACTTAAAGGACCACTATAGTGCCAGGAAAACATACTCGTTTTCCTGGCACTATAGTGACCTGAGGGTGCCTCCACCCTCAGGGTCCCCCTCCCGCCGGGCTCTGGGGATAGGAAAGGGATAAAACTTACCTTTTTTCCAGCGCCGGGCGGGGAGCTCTCCTCCTCCTCTTCAGCTCAATGCGCATGCGTGGCAGGAGCTGCGCGTGAATTCAGCCAGTCTCATAGGAAAGCATTCATATGAAAGCATTTCCTATGGACGCTTGCGTCTTCTCACTGTGATTTTCACAGTGACAAGCACGCAAGCGCCTCTAGCGGCTGTCAATGAGACAGCCACTAGAGGCTTTAGATGCTGGATTAACCCAATTATAAACATAGCAGTTTCTCTGAAACTGCTATGTTTATAAAAATAAAAAAAGGGTTAATCCTAGAGGGACCTGGCACCCAGACCACTTCATTAAGCTGAAGTGGTCTGGGTGCCTACAGTGGTCCATTAAGTATGATTTATATAGCGGCAACAAATTCTGCAGCACTGTACAATGGGTGGACTAACAAACACGTAGGCGCAATGAGCTTACATGCTAGAGGTAGTGGGATATAGTGACACAAAAGGGTAGGGTAGAAAAGAAGGTTGCTAGGATAGTATTCACTGTAGACTTGTGTTTTTCTAATCTGTAGACTTGTGGGTTTTTTTAATACATAAAGGTGGAGCTATTTTTAATTGATGAAGAAGTGAGTTTTTAATGATTTTTTGAAGGAGTGTAGACTGGGTGAAAGTCTAATGGAGAAGGGAATTAAACAGGAAAGGTTGCTGCTCTAGAGAAGTCTTGACGGCGAGCATCAGAGGTGGGAGTATGACCAGAGGATAGACGTCGGTCTTCGGCAGAGCGTAGGGGCCTAGATTGAACGTACTTGTGTATTAGCGAGGATAGATAGGTTCAAACAGCATTATGTAGAGATTTGTATGCAAGAGCCAGAATTTTAAATTAAGCCCTATAACTTATGGGAAGCCAATGCAGGGACTGACAGAGGGGTAAGGTGTTGTAGGTGCGGGCCGAGAGGAAGATGAGCTTCATCGTTGCATTCATTATAGACGGTAACGGGGCAAGTTGGGAGCACGTAAGAGCACTGAGAAGCGGATTGCAGTAGTCGAAGGAAAAGAGGATAGCGGCATGGACCATCCCCTTGGCATTAAATAGTGGAGGATGCACGCAATGTTTTTGAGATGGGAGTGGCAGGATTTGGCGATCGACTGGACATGAGTCGTGATGGAAAGGTCAGCGTCAAAGAGAACACCTAGGCAGTATAGCGCTGTTAACGTGAAAGGAGACTGAAACAGGAATAGCAATACATGAGAGATGAAAGAACAGAAGTTCTGTTTTGGACAGGTTGAGTTTAAGGAAGTGGGCAGCCATCCAGTTGGAAATAGCAGAGAGTCAGTTAGAGACATGAGTCAAGAGGGGTGGCGAGAGATCTGAAGAGGACAGATAGATTTGCATGTCATGCGCATTGAAATGATATTGGAAGTCAAAGGAGTTGATGAGTTTACCAAGGGAGGCAGTATAGATCAAGAACAGTAGGGGACAAAGGACTGAATCTTGGGGAACACCAACAGAGAAAGGTTCGGGAAAAGAGGCAGAGCCAGAGAAAGAAACATTGTAAGAGCTATGGGAGAGGTAGGATGAGCACCAAGAGAGAGCAATATCTCGTAGACCGAGATTACAGTAGATGAGAAGAAGCTGTTGATGATCAACATTGTCATAAGCAGCAGAAAGGTTAAGGAGAATTAGGACAGAATAGTGACCACGAGATTTTGCAGCGAGTAGATCATTGGATACTTTGGTCAGAGCTGTTTCCACAGAGTAATGAGCACGGAAAGCAGACTGAAGCTGTCGAGCAGAGAGTTGGATTTGAGGAAGTCTGTCAATCTCATACACAACTCTCTCAAGGATCTTGAACGCATAAGGTAGTAGCGAGATAGGGTGGTAGTTAGACAGTGTGGGTGCCATGACTGTAGGTTTAAGCCTGCAATTGAAAACATTGCTGTTCTCCAGGAATGGCAATGTATGTATTGCAAGGTTAAAACGTCTTTAGGGGCTTTCATACTGCCAGCCACAAGAGGTGGTTCTGCCAAAATAGATTGAGTTAAAGGGACACTATTGGCACCCAGACCACTTCATCTTATTGAACTGTCCCTGTTCCCTTTACCCTGCAATGTAAAACAGTAGCATTGTTTACATTGAAGTGTTATGACTGCCTCTAGTGGCTGTATACCAGAGCCATTTTGCCTCACATGCACACGGTCTACCCAATGTTTTCCTATGGGAAGTATTTGATTGGTTGACAGAGCACCACAGCTAGGGAGAAATGGAAAGTAAATCAACTTCCTCCTTCCCATGAGGGGAGGGGTATCAGTAACCTAACTAGTTAGCAGGTCACTATAGCATTCGGAATACATTTGCATCCCTTACTTCTTGTACCACTTCCCCACTCCCTTTAGAATGTAAGCTTGTTTGAGCAGGACTCTCAACACCCCCTGTTTCTATGCGTCCAACACGTCTTGTTGCAAATACATGTCTGTTAGTACAACGCTAAGGAATTTGTTGGCACTTTATAAATAATACTTATAATACTGAACTTAATAATAATACTATAGTGTTCCTTTGCAGGAATACTGCAAGCACATGTGGAACCCACTATTGTAGTTAGATAAAATTAAAAGAATACATGAAAGTTTCTGACTCCCCCACTTAACATTATATGTTTTGCTGTTTCCTACCATGGTACCTGGACTGATGTGCCTTGTATTTCGATTGCGGTGTCACATAACTTATACTATTACTGTTGTATATACCATTCACCTTCTTGCCAGTATTTGGTCTGGTACCAGTGTTCAGCATTACTGTATGTTTTAGTATTTGCTTTTATCTCTCATATTTTATTCTAATGAAAAATGTAAATTACAACTACAGCCCACAACTTTAGCTATATTTTACTTGTACTACTCCACAGCAAAAATAAAGACTGTAAAAAGAAGAATATATGACTGTTTTCTTATAGCAGGGATTGACAACAAAAACGCCCATGCTAAATAGTTTCTAAATGTTGTCCTGAGTTTAAAAATACCCAATGTTAACATGTTCTTAGCTTTTTTATGGAAAGTTATAGGGCAATAAGTACAAATAGCACTTTGCTATTTCTGAACAATTTTTTTTCTAAATTAATGCATTAAGTTAAATTATTACACTAATATCTGTCAGGAATCCCTGAATAACCCTTTAAATGTGTGTGTATATATATTTGTAAAAGAATACAACGTAAGGTATTAAACTTGGGGTATTTTGACTTTTTTCATGCAACCATTTAACCACCAATCTATGTCAAATTTGAAAAAATATAATAATTTGTGAATTTTTGGACACACGTAATTTAAGAATACATGTATGGAGAACTTTAATGGTTACTGCCAAAGAATACGCCAATATGTGTTCAGCATCATCTCCTGAGTACAGTGATATGGTGGTATTTTAACACTTTCCATGCACTAATTCTACGACCAGTCTTTGTCAACCTTTTGGGTAGTTTTTTTTGTGTTATTTTTCATGCACATTATACTTAAGGCATGGATTCTCAGCTCCTGTTATGTATCACTGCCAAAGAACACCCCATTATGTGTTCAGCAATATCTCCTGAGTACAACAGTACCCCCAATGTACAGGTTTTATGTTTTTTTGTAAACCTACAGGGGTCAAATTTAGGGCTTTTCCATGTCTACACATTGAAATTTGTCAGATTGGTTTGCTCGGCCTATGTTGCCTTTGAGACCGTATAGCAGCTCAGGAATGAAAAGTAACCCCATTATGGCATACCATTTGTAAAAGTAGACAACCCACGGTATTCAAAATGGGGTATGTCTAGTCTTTTTTAGTAGCCACAAATGCTGTCCAAAGTTAGTGTTTTTATTTGTTTTTTTTTTCATTTTTTTTACACAAAAACTGCACTTTCACTGGTGTTTCATCGTTGTTATAAGTTTTACTGTTTTAAACGCTCATATTTGTATTCAGCGAGGTCTGCTGAATATAACATTACCGCCCATGAACAGTACGTGTGTGTGTGTATGTATATATAACCAGGGAAATAAGATCTTTTTATGAGTAAAGAAACATTTTCATCCTAAAGACCGTGAGTGCAGTCCAGGACTTTCTTGTTATCTCTATTTGTTGCCCCATGTGGACTGGCATACTTCAGTTTAAAGAATTTGTAAGCGTGAGTGCATGGATTTACAGATTATATATATATAATCACACATATAATAGGTGTGTATGTATGTGTGTGTATATATATATATATATATATATATATATATACATACACACACACGTATTGTGAGGATATTGATGGGGTGATAAATATTAAAAATAATATTTTCATAAACATTAGCAAAAACGAATGTAATAATTTTTGTTATATCAAAAATTGATATCTTGGCACTGTTTTCCCGATTAATGATATAAAGCTGAGAATTACACATTATTTTTAATTCTCATAGATCATGGAGTACGTTTATTAGAGGATTTTTATTTCACACGTTAATCACAAACTAATTATAAAAATATAATTTATTGTGACAATAAATAATAATAAGATGTAACATGCGTGACAATAATCAGTGAATAGTTATAACATATGTATATAATCTGGCAGTGGTCTAACACAATTTATAGATAGCTAAATAGCAACAGTTATATCGACATGTATGCAGTTTTCAACAAGATTTACGACAGGACACCACTTTGAATTCAGCTTTCTAAACATTCCTTAACCCCTTAAGACCGCAGGGCGTACTATTACGTCCTCTAATAGGCGGCTCTAAACGCCGCCGGGCGTAATAGTACGCCCTCCGGTCTTTCTGTACTTACCCGGTCGCCGGCGGTCCCACGCCGGCGATCGCGGTGAGGGGGACTCCCAGGGAGCCCCCCGCGGCACGACCGTCCTCCAGGAAGCCCCCCGGCCGTGTGAGAGTGGGGTCCTAGCGAGGACCCCACAATCACATGGCCGGGTATAGCTGGCTTCTGTATTGCCAGCAGGGGGGCTGCCTGTAATTACAGGGGGTCCCCCTGCTGGCTAAAAATAAAAGTAAAATAAGTTAAAAGTGTAAAAAAATAAAATTATATATACTTAGATCATATATATATATTATATATATATGATCAAAGTATATATACACACATATACATACACACATGTACAGCGTCTAGGTGTATTTTACTATTAATATATATATAATTATATATATATATTAATATCAAATTACACGTAGACTGATACTGATTAAATATATATATAATTATTGTTATATATATATTTATATATATTATATAAAAAATTAAAATGTAAATACGTTAAAAAATAAAATTACAAAAATAATTAAAAATAAATAATTAAAAAATATATAGATGTGTGTTATTTCGTTCTAACTGTATTGTGAAATTAATATATATATATATATATCAAAATACACATAGAGCGAAATAATATATATATTTATACACATAAATATATACGTATATATCACTATATATATACCTATATATAAATAAAAATATTTAAAAAAAATTATATAGATATATACATATATATATACACATACGTATATATATACATATATTGATTCTACATATATATTTATGTAATATTTTTACATAATTAGGTATCTTAATTAATTACAATTAGCGGGACATGCCTGACAACCCATGCCGAAAGTAAAGGGAATTTAATTTGCTAGCACTATATTTAACCCTATAACTTTCCAAGACACCATAAAACCTGTACATGGGGGTACTGTTCTACTCGGGAGACTTCGCTGAACACAAATATTAGTGTTTCAAAACGGTAAAATGTATTACAACGATGATATCGCCAGTAAAAGTGAAGTTTTTTGCATTTTTCACGCACAAACAGCATTAAACGGACAATATTATTGCTATGATACTTTTTACTGTTTTGAAACACAAATATTTGTGTTCAGTGAAGTCTCCCGAGTACAGCAGTAACCCTCATGTACAGGTTTTATGGTGTTTTCAAAAGTTACAGCGTCAAATATAAGGCTTGCGTTTCATTTTTTTCACATTAAAATTCGCCAGATTGGTTGCGTTGCCTTTGAGACCCTATGGTAGCCCAAGAATGAAAATTACCCCTATGATGGCATACCATTTGCAATATTAGACAACCCAAGGTATTGCAAACAGGGTATGTCCAGTCTTTTTTAGTAGCCACTTAGTCACAAACACTGGCCAAAATTGGCGTTTTTTGCATTTTTCACACACAAACAAATACTAACGCTAACTTTGGCCAGTGTTTGTGACCAAATGGCTACTAAAAAAAGACTGGACGTACCCCATTTGCAATACCTTGGGTTGTCTACTATTACAAATGGTATGCCATTATGGGTGTAAATTTCATTCCTGGGCTACTATAAAGTCCCAAAGGCAACGTAACCAATCTGGCGAATTTCAATTTCAAATGTAACGTGCTTTATTTGACCCTGTAACTTCCCAAAACGCCATAAAACCTGTACATAGGGGTACTGTTTTACACGTGAGACTTTGCTGAATACAAATATGTGTATTTTATTGCAGTAAAAGCAAACAGTATTATGACATTGACAGTTAAAATGTCATGTAGAACAAAAAAATCCAAAAAAAACGTATTTTCTCCCATTTTTTTCATATTAAATTATGTTTCATAGCTAAATATTTGATATTAAATGAAAGCCCTGTTTCCCCTGAATAAAATGATATATATAATAAGGGTGGGTGCATTTACTATGAAAGAGGTGTATTACGGTTGGACAGACATGTAGCGCAAATGCCAGGTTTTGTTTACATTTTGTTTTGTTCACAACGTGTACATTTGGCTCCGTCCTTAAGGGGTTAACACAGAACACCTCATCTCACAGCCGCACAGCATAAAGCAATAAAAACTTTGGCTGATGGTCAAATCACACTGAATTAACTCATTCACTGCTGGTTGCAATTCTCATGGGCAAGATATCCTTTTATATTGCAATGACAAATACAATATTTCTCATACTAGATCATTTGACCATTCCTATGTCCATCCAATAAGAATAATTCTAACCAGATTTTACGTTTGCAGTATTTTAACTTACCTAATTAAGATTTACTATTTCTAATTTACGTGAGCTAATATATCTGGATAATTGCCTGGTATGCTATATATATATATATATATATATATATATATATTATTTTTTTCCAACTCATATTTTATTGGTGTTTTCATGAGGATAAACGAAAGGGGAGTACAGAAAGAAGAGAGGGGTGGGGATGTACATAGCTTTTACAAGTTCTCCATATTTAAAGCATTCACACAAATCACCACACACAATATAAGTGGTTATATACAGCAGAGTACCCATTGTAGGCTTCTCTATGGCTTGTTAGCGCCTGGGTAGAGCCGCATCGGGCATGGTGGTTTCGGTTAAGCATGCACATAATTGTGTGTTATATGCCTTTTGTCCCCCAACATTTTCCACTCCTGTGTGGGTTCGCATTAGCATATGTCAACTGGAAGTATTTCTAGTGGGAGTGGTGCTAGTAGCCCTGTATGCTAAGATGCCTGTACACTGAGGTGGCGGCTCAGAAAGAGGAAGAGGGTTAGGGGGAACTGGGGTTAGGGCTCCGTACTGCATGTGGATGTAAAGTAAGGCATTGCAAGCCATTT